GGCTTCGGCTGCAGGAGGCGAAGAGCTGCCAGCCGAGCCATGTCCCGGAGCTGCCAGTCCTCTCCGTCATGTCTGATGCATTGTGGCCAGCAGCACAGCCTGCCCAGAGCGGGGCTGCGGGGATGCGGGGAGCTCCCGAGGTGACAGCTTGAGGGAGGGAGCTGTGGCATGGCGCCTGAATGCCAGGGACAGCTTGTGGAATCAACACCGGGGGGGCCCCCATCTGGGGAAAGAAAGCGAGCCTGGACCAGGACAAAAGGAAAGCCAGAGCAGCAGGCTGTGGCCCTAGCTGGCTCATGCTTGTAACTACTTAACTCCCAATGTTGGCGGTGGTGTCATGCAGGTGGCCGGAATGTGCCTGCGTCTCCGTGCGATTCCCAGGCCCTGAGCTAGGCAGTCTTCAGGGTGTGGACCGTCTCTGTGTAGGATGACCAGGTCCTGTGGGCATGCAAATTCAGAGTTAGAAAAATAGGCCTGCAACCTAATTGGCCCCGGCACATTAGGTTAAGGTCCAGAAGGGCCGGGAATTTAGCTCCGTGGTTCTGCCGCCTGCCTCGCAAGTACAAGGTCCCCAGTTCGATCCCCGGTACCAAAAAAAATGTGGGAACATTGTCAGTCCTACACCTCACCAAAGGCCATTTGGACTTTTTTTGTTTTCCCCAGCACTAGGGATTGAACCCAGGGCCTTCACACTGAGCTACGTCCCTAGCCCTTTATTATTTTTTATTTTGAGACAGTTGTACTAAGTCCCTAACTTGCCACCCTCCTGCCTCAGCCTCCCAGAGTGCTACGATGCCTCCTCCTATGGCTGCCCTTTGGATTCTTTATGAAACAGCAAGCTCACTCCTAAAATGGCAAAACACTTCTTGTTCAGGCATCCTTATTATTTTCTTTTCGTGTGCATGTGTGTGTGTGTAGGGGACTGCAGGACTTCAGATAGGCAAGAATTGAGTTCATCATGTTCCCCGGTTCATAGTGTGCCATCAGTCACACAAGATTTTTCTCTGCATTTCGTTCTTTTTGTTCTTTAACTTACTCTCCTGCCCCCTGTGCTGGCCCCCTCTAATGTATCTTGGCCTTGCAACCTGCCTCCTCCCTGCTTGATTAGCTATTAAAGGCCCCTCCAGCGCGTACCTCTGTAGTGTCTGCAGATTGGGCAGTGTATTTTGGGGGCCGTATCCTTTGGACCAGTCCTCCAGCGTCTCAGGAAAGTACTTCCCCTCTGGAACTCCTGCTGCTTGGTCTTAGTTTGGCCTGTAAAAAGCTGCACAAACCCTCTCCCGAGGACTGAAGACTGGGGTGCTGGTCCCCTTCTCCAGCCTCACGAGCGCTGCTCCCCTCTCTTCCTCCTCCCCAGCTGTGGAGCCTGGTGCTGCCCCTCTCTGGCCCAACCCTAACCTCTGCAGCTGGAAGGACCAGGGAGGGGCCCGGGAGGTGCTATGGCTGCGCCCCTGGGCAGGGTCCTCCTTTTGAGGTTGAGCTGGACCTGTGGACCTCACTGCTGGGGTCAGGAGCCTGGCCTCACCCCTTCCCCCTGGTTTTCAGGGTGCAGGCCGTGCTGACTGGGGGCCTTTGGGCTGGGCCTCTGCCCTCATGCCGCAGCAGGTTCTCTGAGCTCTGCACCAGACCCCAAGCCTCTCCTTCCCTTGCCTGGGTGGGAACTCCCTCACCACAGGCCTCGCTGATGGCGTGGGCTCGGATCACATAGCCTGTCTTCCCGGCCCTCTGCGCCTCATGTCTGCCACCACACAGTGGAGGCCAACGTGATGCTTTTCTTTTTTATTGAAGTGCAACTCACATAAAATAAGCCCTTTTAATGTGCAGAATTCAGTGACGTTTAGTACATTCAGAACATGTGCTCCCAGGTGTGTGGCGCATGCTTATAACCCCAGCACTCTAGGAGGCTGAAGCAGGAGGGTCACAAGTTCAAGCCCAGCCTGAGCAGCTGGGCAACTTAGCAACTTAGATCTCAAAATAAATTTTTAAAAAGGGATGGGGAGAGCCAGGGATTTAGCTCAGTGGTTCTACTGCCTGCCTTGCAAGCGCAAGGACCCGAGTTCGATCCCTGGTACCAAAAAAAAAAAAAAAGGGATGGGGATGTAGCTCATTGAGAAGGCCCTAGGTTCAATCCCCAGTACCAAAAACAAACCAAAAAAAGGTGCATAATTAGCACCTCTATTTCCAAAATATTTTCACCATTCTGGATGTTTCTTATATGGAATTTATGTAGGGAATCATTTAGTATGTGGCTTTTGGCTGAGAGTTCTTTCTCTGAGCAAGTTTTGGGGATTCATGCACAGCGCAGCCTGTAACGGCATCCCTCCTTTTTATGGCTGCATACTACTCCACACATGCAGCAAAATGGTTCTCCCCATTTGTCTGTGATGGACACTGGGTCTTTTTCTGCCTCTGGCTCTTTCGATGCCACTGCTCTTCACAGGTGTGCATGTGAACTCTCAGGGCACAGGCCTAGGGTAGAACCGCAGGGTCATATGGCAATCTCATGTTTGACTTTTGAGGAACTTCCAAACTATATATTTCCTTTTAAAGTAGCAGCTTTAAAAACTCTGGGACTGTTCAATTGTGAGTTAGGAAGCGTCCCAAACAATTGGGCTTTTTTTTCCCCCTGCCAGTGCATTTCTGGTTAATGACTAGCTTCCAGCTCCCTAGTTCCATCAAGATTCCCAAAATAAAATCCCTCCTGGTCACTTGCTGTTGCTTGGCAAGGCCTGAGCGAACCATGGTGGTCGTGGAGCCAAAACAGCTGTCCACTGTGCTCCGGGGGAAAGCAGTGCCTTCCCGTGCGGCCCTTGGGCGTGGTGAGCGAAGAGGCGTGAGCGGACTCACGGGAAGACAGCGTAAGGACATCTCATAGTCAGAAGGAAGAACCCAAACTCCCGTGATGCCCTCTACCCAGAGGGTCCCTCCCTGGGAGTTTGTCTGCACTTACAACCCTCATCCAGCTGGGTGGCTTCCTGGCCAGGACATAGCGTCTTCGGTGTGGGGAGCTCTCCCCGACCAGCTGACCGCTTTCCTACTATGGTGCCCAGTCCCGCAGGTGCTCTCTCGTGCCACCTAGTGGTTTTCTAGGAAAATGAATGGTTTTTTAAACCACTCACTCTAAGGGGCTTTTCATTCAATTCAATTGTTCTTTTGTTCATCCATCCGTATTTCTATCTGTCACATATTTTTGAGTGCCTGCTATGTCTTTGGATCTATGATTGATTCTAGGAACAGAAGCATAAACGAGTCAGAGCACCTTCCCTTATAGAGCATCATTTGTTGGGGGAGACAATTAAGTGACTTGGAATGAATACAAAGTGCAAAGTGCCATCATGGGGAGGGCAAAGGGTGTGCAGGAGCCCAGTGGGAGCACACGAGTCGTACCTGACAGATACTAGCAAGAGAGGACAGACTCGGAGTGCCCTGCATGAGGCTAATCTGTGCAAAAGCCCACGCTCCAGACCCAACACGATGCTTAAATCCCTGCTGGAAGAGCAGGTGATCATGTGGGAGGAGCCCGAGAGGGGCACAAGGTGCGGGCACTGAGCCAGGCAAGGACGCAGGCATTAACTCTCCAGCAGCAGTGAGCTGCTAGTCAGTCCAGGGGAGAGGCACGCTGACATTTGCACTGCAGAAATGACAATCTGGTCGTGGATGGAGAATGAATCAGGGACAGGGCTGGAAGCTGACAGACTGCACAGGAAGTGTTGTGTGATGGATATGACTGAAACCAGGGGGAGGCAGTGGGAAGGGAGCAGGTGATGGAGCCCAGACACACATGTGAGGCTGGGGAGGAACTGCTGAAATGTGGGTCAGAGTCCTTCAGCTTGCCCTGCGCCCTGCACAGGGAGGCACTGATCAGTGAGCCACTTCTCGCTGCAGGTCTCCAGAAGGATAGCCTTGTCCAGGAGCTGTTCCCCTGCAGTGTCCTCTCCCACCTCAGTCAGGATGGACGGGGGACTGGGCACGCACAGTGGGCAGTGGGCTTCAAGTTGCCGCAAGATGAAGCAGAAGCAGGAGAAGCATGGCGCATTTGACAGACAGCTGTTGGTCCAGGCAAGCTGAGTTCTGGACATAGCCGCCTCTGCCTTCCACTTTGACTCAGCTACATTGTAGAGGAGTGAACTGGACCATGGTTTCAGACTCGATTCAGAGCCTGGGCAGTTTAGCACTGTGTTTGATTGCATCTCAGCTGCAGGCCACTCTTGGGAGAAGCAAGGGGAGGAGGCGGCCCTTAAGGATGCCCTTGAGCGCTTCTGACCCTCTTCCCCGAAGCCCCACGATGATTGCTTGTGCTTGATCTGTCATAAATGCAGTTCATGCTGTGGGCCACCCGAGAGCCCACTTCCGCATCACTGTCCCAGTGCTGCCATTACCTTTGAAGGGACAACATCAGGGCCACACACCTTAGCTGCACAAAATATTTAAAGAAATCATTCCTCGAAACAAAACAGCCTGTTTTTCAGGTCTGCTCATGTCCCTTGTCCCTTTACCCTGGGATCAGAAGAGATCACTGGAATCTTGCCTTTCTGCCCCTGCTCCAAACACTCTCAGTCCCAGACACACTCAGCCGTGGCTCAGGGAGTCCAAGGGCTGTCGCATTTCTTACCAGTCTGTGCATGACATCCTCTGGATGCTGGGCCTGCAAGCCAGTGTCTGCTTTCTTAACTGATCTGTGCAGAGTTGTCTTTCCTTGTACAAAAGTAGTTCTCAGTTGGGGGTGGCTTTGTCCTCCCAGGACAGGTGGCGATGTCTGGAGCCATTTTTGGTTGGAGGCAGGGGTGGACTCTGCTGGCATCTGATAGGCAGAGACCAGGATGCTATGAAACATCCTCCAAAGCAGAATTATTCAGTCCCAAATGTCATTGTTCTAGGACATCCCCCTGCTCTGTGACCAAGGGGGACTGAGGGGACCCAGAGCTTCTAAGACCCTGGAGGAGTACTAGAGCAGACACAAGTTCACGAAAAGCTTACTTGCTGTGTGTTTCCTTCCCCAGCTGAGCTCTGTACCAGAGGCCCACGTGGAGCAGCTGGAGACAGCGAGACCCCAAGGGCTGGGGAGCGGGGAGCGTGGCCTGGTGCCGAGGATGGCCAGGCAGCAGCTGCCGCCCTGGGCCCAAGCAGCCTTCCTCCTCCTCTTCCTCCTTAGTCTCGGCGGGGCCATCGAGATTCCTATGGATCGTGAGTCTTGCCCCATCCTCTCTCCTGTTTTGGGGTAGAGGAGTGGAAGGGAAGGGGAGGTGGGGGAGAGTTAAGACCACTTGAGGAAGATTGGGGAGAGGGTGGCGGTGAGTGACTCTGAGATTCAAAGCTGATTTTCTGTCCAGTGAATGAACACAGGCTCGTTTTTGGAAATCTGATACTGCAAGTTGCAGGGCTGATCTCTAGGGCTGGGTCTTTAAGATGATGCTTGGGTTTCCCAGGTGGCAGGGATGGAATTCCGGGAGCCGCTTGGCATTCATCCCTCTGCTCACCTCCTTTGGCTCTCTGTGGTCTTGACCTCCTAAAAGCAGTTCCAAGGTGAAGTGCAGGGGCAGCTCTTATTTCCCTTTCTAACGCTATGTCCAGTTTTAGTGTATGTGCTGCCGAAGCGAGCACATCTAATGCTGTGTCCAAAGCTGAGCCCCTTGGTCCCTTGGCTGGAGGGATCAGGAGGAGAGGTGACCTGGGAGAGCTGAGAGGGCGATTATCTTAAAAGGCCTCATTAAATAAGATATTAAAATGAAGCCCCATCGTAATGGGAGAACCAGGCGTGGATTCCTTCTGTGTCCAGCTTTCCCCCAGTTGTGTTGGGAAGTGAAATCCATGGCCTTATGCTTCCCTGGTGGGGGCACTGTCTGACCACCGGAATCATGAAGTGAGGAGTTGAAAGTGTCACCGCATTCATAGATGGCCTGCTGATCGGCAGCCACACTTCTCGGTCCTGTGTCAAGGAAGAAGTGGGACTGGCATGACACCAGCGCTGACGAGGGCCCTCCCCGTTGGCAGATGTCTGGGAAGGGGGCGGCAGAGTAAACGGCCTGCAGGAAGTCCCCACGGAGCGCTCCAAAGCCAGGCCCTCCCCCACCCCACGTCACCCCTAATATTAGTGCCCAGGGGAGTGGGCACTGGGATGGCAGAGGGCGGTATAACTGTAAACTGGACCCCAAAGCAAGACGGCCAAGGCCGCTGTGCCCCAGTACTGCAGCCAAGTCTGTGTGCGTCCCTTCCGGGTCCACACACGAGGCTGGCAGGGAGGAGAGTTGTGGGAGGAACCGTTCCCATGGCGACCGTCTGCCGCTGGCTCAAGGAGAGTTCTTGTTAACAGCCCCAGGCGGACAGTCTAATAGGAGCGCGATAAGGCCTTGTCCCTGGAGAGGAGGGGGTGCAGAGGAAATTGGGTTATCGAGAAAGTGGTGAAGGCTCATTTCTCTTTCTCCGCTTCTCACTCACTCACCTGCCACTCTGATCCCCAGAACTGGGCCTGGGGGCTCCTGTGCTGTGGACTTAGAAAGCGAAGCTCCAGCCCAGCCTGGGCTACTGAGCAAGACCCTGTCTCAAAATAAAAATATACTAAAAGGCAGGGGCCATAGCTTAGTGTGAAGGCCCTGGGATTGATCCCTAGTCCTAGGAGGAATCTGGATGTGTGTACTACTGTAGACAAAGACACAGCCAGGAACCCAAACACTCAGTCTCCTGGAATGACCACACATGGCAGAGAGCAGAGCACCCTAAACTACCCAGCACCTGTCTCCATCCTGGGGTCCCCAGAGGGCCAAGAAGGAAACCACCCTTCTGTGCTGTGTTCAGGGAAACTCAGGACCTTGCTTGCTTGGGGTCACATGACAAATAGTAATGGAGTTGAAAAAGGGCCCGGATCTCTGGACCCCCAGTGTGGCAGTCAGCAGGCCCTACCCTCCCTTGTAACCCCGCCTCCTCTCAGTCTGTATTGGACACTGCTGAAGTCACTCAGGCCTGGGCCAGGCAGAGAGCTCTACACCTGGCATCTCTCCACACACGCTCTCCCAGGAACGGGGAAGCAGGTATTCCCCTTAGCTGACAGATTCTCAAGAAGGCAGAGAGGCAGCAGAGCCAGGACGCAACTGACCCCTCTCTGGTGGAGAGGTGAGTCCTGTCATGCGTTCCGGGGTGGAGTTCTGAGGTACAGCACAGCCCCAGCCCCTGCAGCGTCTCCAGAGGCTGCACACATGGCAGCCCAAAGCAGAGGGCCCAGCCAGCTGTTCCTGAGCCCGGTGCTGCGGGCCCTGCTCCCGTATTAGCCAAGCCCACTTCCCATCTCTGGGCTGGGGGAATATGTGCCCTAATACCCCACCACCACCCCACACCCCGGCCCAGGCCTCCGTGACTCTGTTGGTGTCCTTCTCCTGCTTCCCCTTTGGGGACAGTATGCCTGGAGGGCAGGGATGCAGCCTGTGCTCTGGGGAGTTGGCCCAGCAGCACCCTGGAAGAGCGCCCTGGCCACTGCACAATCCCTCATTCAGGCAGCAGTGAAGTCACACCCCCCTGCCCCTCCAGCCCCAGGGAGAACAGTGTGACCTTTGAGACAAGCAAAGGGTCATCTCATCAGCCAGAGGGGGTTTGCCAAAAACCAAGTCTGCTGGAAGCTGCCCCTCGTCCCTCCCGGTACTTTTGTCCTAGGAACTTGCAGAGGATGCCCAAGGAGCGGGAGAGGCACTTCCTCCCCACCTTCTTCCCACACTGAGCCTTGGGATGGGCTCTGACACCCACAGCCCTCACCTTTCCCCCAAGGGAAGAGTGTGAACCAGAGAAGAGAGCCAGCGAAGGGAGGCACCTGTCCACCCCCTGCAGGACCAGGGCAGAAGGGTTTGTGGCCCCTGGGAGCAAAGAGAGCAAATTCATCCCTCACTTGACATCATCAGACAGCAAGTCCCGTAGAAGGAGAGGCGGACAGGAGGTGTGGCGCCTGGTAAGAGCTCAGCTCTTATCCCTGGACAGCCTGTCCTGCTGTCTTCTCCCTGGGGCAGCTTGTCCTCTAGGGAGACTCTGTCCCTGTAATAAATTCCTCGGGAGCACAGTGGTGGCTACAGATGCCATTGTCCCTTTAGGCAAGTAGATTTTCAAGAGGCTCCTGGCCAGATAGGCCGTGTGCAGGCTGGACACGGTGGTGCACAACTGCGATCCTAGCACTCTAGGCGGCTGAGGCAGGAGGACAGAAAGCCTGAACCCAACTTGCAATTTAGTGGAACCCTGTCTCAAAATAAAAAATTAAACAAGGGCTGGGGATGTAGCCCAGTGTGAAGGCTCTAGGTTCAGTCTCCAATACAAAAAAGCAGTGGCTGGGCATTAGTAGAGCAGGCATCCACTGGGCTCTGCACCTCCCACGGGGTCTTAATGGAGTGACTTCCGGTCGCTGGAGCGAGATCCCCGCCCCCCCCCCATTGTCTAGGGCTCTTCCGCTCTGTGAAAAAGAAGCTCGGAGCCCATCCAGGTGAGCAGTCCTGTGCCAGGCTTCCCGGGGTGAGGCCAGAGCCCCCTGTACGTGAGGACCCGAGAGATGCCGGCTATGCCTGGAAATGAAAAAGCCGGGGCCCGGGGTGGTGCTCAGAAGGATTCGGCCCGCCTGTCCTGAGAACAGCCGCTCCGTCCTCCTCCCTCCCACGCCGCCCCACTGGCTTCCAGTTTTTCCGCAGTCTCCTTTCCTGGGGCCCGGGGGGGAAAATCGTGGACAGATGCTGCTGCTGCTGTGGGCAGCTCCACGGAGAGCTGCAGAAACCGGACATTTCCCTCCCTCCCTCCCATCTGCTTCCTGGCCCAGGAGCCCTGGGCACACGGGAAAGGGGAAGGGAAACGCCGTCCATGGGCCGCACCACCCTGGCCCACCGTGAGCCCTTTTGCCCGTGCTCTCAGGACTTCCTTGCCAGACAGTGCGCGTGGGAGGGCTCTCGTTCCTGCCACGCCCACCCCGCCTCTCCGGGCCCTTGTCCCTCTGCTTCCGTGACCCTTTCTGATCTCCCCTCCAGGCCCCCTCTGAGCACCCACACTCCTCTTCCTCCCCTCCTCACTCTCGCGGGAGAGCTGAAGGCATCGAGGTCCCCATGGCTCTGCCTGGTGCCCACTTCCCTGGGTCCCCCTTAGCCTGCGCCCTGACATGGTGCCGGTGTCCTCCCGCGTGCAGGGAGAACACAGTGCTGCTCTCCGAGCATCATCAGCAAGGACATTCTGAACAGTTTCAGCAGCTCACATTCTCTTTGCTGCAGATGCATTTTAACCAAGACTGTCCCCTCAAGAACACAACAGCCAAACCCTTCCTGTCCAAGCTGCACCACGGACCACCGGCCTCAGCATCACCCGGGCACGGGTCAGAAATGCAGAATTTGGGCCTGGGTGTAGCTCAGTGATAGATCACTTGCCTAGTATGTTCGAGGCCCTGGGTTTGATCCCCAGCAACACACACACACACACACACACACACACGCACACACACCTGAACGGGAGCCTCCTGTACTCCAGCAGGAGCACCTTCCAGGCACGACTGGGGAAGGTTTGAGCCACCCGCCTCTACCCGCTTTGTGTAAAACACAGCAAGGAGTAGGAGGTGCTGTCATGTCCTCAGTCTCCTTCAAGAGCAGGATTTCCCCAGGGCGCCGTATTTCTGCCAGGAGGAGGGCCACGAGAGTTCAGCTGTCCCTAGGCTCCCCGTGTGGCGTTGGGCTCCAAGGGAGGCAGCAGCTTCCCTATAAAGCTCCTGCCCAGTCTGCTCCCAGCCTTGCTGGGTTCTTCCCTGAGCTCTGCAGCTGGGAGGAGAAAGGTTGGGCACAGCGCTGTCCCCAAGGCCACCTCACCCCTCTCCTGCATGGTGGGCGTGAGGACACCTGGCAGCCAGCCGTGTGCGGTAACAGTGTTCTTCTTTTCTCCCCCCGCAATGCTAACCCACTGGAACTAACAGCAAGCATTCAGAATGAGCGTAAGTCCCATGCGCCACCCCGCGCTTGTGTCTCCAAGGCGGGAGGGAGGGCAGAGGGGCCGCAGAGGCCTGGGGTCAGCGGCCTCTCTACCGGCCTTGTGGTGAGGCCCCAGCCACCTCACAGGGAAGAAAGAGCTCAGTTAGCTGGAGGTGCCCACTGCCCGGCAGGCGGCCAGAGGATGGATGGAAGCCGAAGTGCACCCCGGCTGCTCCTCCATCTCTGGTGGCTGACATGGGACCCTGGCACGGAAGCCTGGGGCTCAGGACCCCAGTGGGAGGATCTGACAGCCCCTGGGAAGCTCTCTGGGACGGAAGCGTCTCTCAGCTCTTAGCTCACCGCAGTGTGGCACGGGGCTCAGAACACCATGGCCCCTGAGTCCTGAAAGGGCAGCTGCTTTTGTTCTTGCGTTCGCCTGGCACACTCTTCCGAGACTGTTGTGCGCTGTGGCGGGTGTGAGGATATACTGCTGGGCATAACAGAAGCCCGGCTTTCGGCCTCTCCCAGGGACGCTTCTTCAGGGGATTCTCTGCCTCGCCCCACGGCACCCACCTCTTCTAGGCCCATTTGAGAAGCTGGGTCTCTAGAGCGGGGACTCACACTTGCCTGCACGCCCCATAGCTCCCCAAGCTTGTGGTTTTAGCTGTCCCCCGAGCCAGGGCCCGGCAGGTCCCCAAGGCCCTGACTACCCCCTGGCCTCCTGTTGCAGTGACCCAGCCTCCGACCATCACCAAACAGTCAGTGAAGGACCACATCGTGGACCCCCGAGACAACATCCTGATCGAGTGCGAGGCGAAAGGGAACCCAGCCCCCAGGTGAGTGGAGGAGAGGGCCTGCGAAGCCCCTGCCTCCAGGCCTGATGGTATGGAAGCTAAATTCAGCCGCTGACCAGGTAGAAGGCACAATTTGGGAAGCAGGAAGCTTACCTGGTAAGGAAACTAGGGGCTTGTCTGCGTTCTCCATGAAAAGCCAGGACTAGGCACCGAGTGTCCTGACCTCTGGGCTCACGTTCTGCCCTCAGCCTGCTGTTGCCATTGTCCACTCCCGTTCAGCTACAGAAGTTCCCCTTCCTGGATAACTGGAGCTTTTCAGCCTGAGCTCTCTCCGCTCGTCTGCTCATCAGGATCAGATGAGGAGCCCAAAGCCTGCCCTTGGTCCCGTTGTCTCTGCTCAGCCATCCACCTCCCTTGGGCAGGGCCGATGCCCTCCTGAAGAAGAGGCGAATGGAGGAGCAGGGATTTTAAGCGCCTTTTCCAGTCATTCCCCAGGAAAGGGGCAGAAGCTGCCTGTGAACCCAGCCTCTGAGCTCGCAGGCCCAGGTTTATTTCTGCCAGATGGGAAGCCCTGGGGACCCGTCCCCACCTTCACGCTTGCAGCCAGGGGCTCCGGCAGGGCCAGCCAGGGTGTGTGTCATAGAAGAGCCAGGCGGGCCGAGGCTGCGGGCGTGTGTGGCAGCGCTGCTCTGCCTCCGGGTTTCACGGAAGGGTGTGACGCAGAGCTGTGATCCCCGACCCAGCAGCGACTCCCTGCCTGACGGGGGACTCACCCTGGAGGGCCGGGGCTGGGCACTGATGATGGTGCCTCTGGGATTGGCCTTTTCCCTCAGTTCCCCTGTGGGGGCAGCGACTGACCCTGAGCAGCCACTGCTGCCTCTGCGTCTTCTGCTTTTACCGCCTCTGTGATGAGCAGTGGAGGGTGTGAGGCCCTGGCTGCACCCTCCCAAGAGAAGCAGGGCACTTGGTCTTTGCTTTTTGCAATTTTTGTTTATTTTGCAGTGCTGGGTTTTGAACCCAGGGCCTCATGCTTGCCAGGCAAATACTGCACCACTGAGCCACAGGCCCAGGCCCGGAGGGGTTACTTGGGGCTTCGCACCATCTCTTGATGCCATCATTTCAAAGCCATTCTTTAAAAGCTTCCCCTTCAGGAAGAGGAAGGGCTGAAAAAAAAGAGAGAGAGAAAAGAATGAAGATGTGTTGTGTACGTGCATCAACTCCCCACGATGCTTTGGGATCGTTACGTACTGCAAACATGTACTTACAAAAATAGTAAATGAGAAATGAGAAAATGAAAGCTGGGCCTCCAGTGCGGCAGTGTGGCCATGTCTCATCCCTCTGCAGAGGCCCAGCCAGGCCCTTTCCCTGTCCCTTGGCACCCTGGGCATGGAGGGCGGTGACGGGCTGAGAGCGATGGAGCCCAGACCTGGCCAATGGTCACGGTTGGCCCATCCCATTGTCCACAGCTTCCACTGGACTCGAAACAGTAGATTCTTCAACATCGCCAAGGACCCACGGGTGTCCATGCGGAGGAGGTCGGGGACCCTGGTGATTGACTTCCGCAGTGGCGGGCGGCCCGAGGAGTATGAGGGCGAATACCAGTGCTTCGCCCGCAACAAATTTGGCACCGCCCTATCCAACAGGATCCGCCTGCAGGTGTCCAGTGAGTATGATGGGGCAGGGGCAGGGTGTGGATGGTCATTGCAGGAGGCCACCCCTGCCCCCACTCAGAAAGATTCCCAGAAAGGGAACTTGCAGACCAGAGGTGGCCCCCAAGTCACAGCCACCCTGGGCCCCAGAGGAGGGAACAGGAAAGGCCTTGGAGACCAACATCCACTCCAACAAAGGCCTCGGTCCTCCTCCCTCACAAGGGCTGCCACGGCTCCAGCCCTCACCTCACTTTACCCTCCTTGTCTCTTCCTCCCCAGAATCTCCCCTGTGGCCCAAAGAAAACCTGGACCCTGTTGTGGTTCAGGAAGGTGCCCCCTTGACGCTGCAGTGCAATCCCCCTCCTGGCCTCCCGTCCCCGGTTATCTTCTGGATGAGCAGCTGTAAGTCTCGGGAGCCTGGTGTTTTGTCGAGAGTCTAGTCCTGGGGAGTGTGAGATGGGAGGCTGAACTCAGAGCTGGCCATGTGGCCGAGAACACAGCTCTGCAGAGAGGGTGGTTTTGCTGTGTGCTCTTCAGCAGGTCGCTTAACCTCTCTGGGTCTGTTTCCTCCTCTGGGAAAAGCACGACCGACGGCCGACTTATCTAATGATATTACTGTAAAGATCAGTGAGCTAACCCAGCTGAAGTGAGGAGAGCTAGGCCAGACACACCAAAAGTTCTTAGTGCTGTTTGTGAAGGTGAAGGTCAAGAATCACAAAAGAAAAAAAACAGTAAGGAGGAGAAGCCGCATCTGTTGGGAGGCCGGTTGAAGGTGGTTGACCCCAGCATCCTCTTTTGCTCCTTGGTCAGCCTGGGCTTGCTCCACCCATTCTTCTAGTACAGAGGGTGCACCACGGAATGAAGTCTGGTAGAGGGGTGAGGAGGAGGCGGGGCATCCAGGGCAGGGTCTGGGGGCCGTGTTCAGAGGCACCCGGAACGGTTTGCACTGGGGCTGATTTAACCTCTCAACCTGAGTTTCCCACATTTTCAATGAAGATGGGGGTGGTGTGGTAACTGGAGCCCGGTGTCACTCTGTGCATACTGCTGACTTCCCTCCCCTCCTTCCATCCCTCCCTATCCGTCATCCATCCCTCCTGCCATCCCTCCCTATCCATCATCCATCCGTCCACCCATCCATCCATGAGTGTACATATCCACCGCCCTGCCTGCCCATCATTCATCTTTCTGTCATCAGCTCACTTCCGAGAGAGGCTGCCATGCCGAGGAGGCAGCATTTCGAGCTGTCTCTCGGGGTGAGTGTGGCTCTGTGCTCCTCATTGTCCTTCTCCGCCTTGTCACACTCGTTTGTGGGATAAGCTGCCCAGCCACAGGCAGGCTGTGGGCTGACCTGTTAGTTCCCAGTTTCGACTCTCCTCTCCATCTTCACATCGGAGTTTGTCACCACGCTGTGTCCGTGCCACCTCTGGAGCAGGTCTCACGGCCCTCTGCTTCTTTCCCTTCCCACTCCAGCCACCGCCAGCCTGTCCAGGGTTCCAACCCGTGACCGCAACAGGCCTCCCCAGTCAGATGCTTAAAGCCCTTCATTGGCTCCTCCCTCAACTCTCCCGCCTCGGGAACAGTCTGTCTGGACCCTTTCCCGGCCGGTGCCTCTGCCCCCTCACCATTTTCCCACCCTGCCCTGCGTCCCTCCGCTCCATGTGGCCTCTGCTCTTAGCCTTCAGCAGCACTCTGGCCCTCGAGAGCCCCTGGTGCTCCTGTCTTTTCTGCCTGGTATAAGACACGCCGCCTTCAGGATTCAGCCCAGACCCCCAAGTGGCCTGGTCCCTTCCCTGCAGCCTGTCACTTCCTCCCCGGTGTACTCCCCTCTCCACACCGTGTCGCAATGACTTGTTTATTTGCTGTCCTTTCCACTAGACTGGCAGTGTGCTGAGGGCAGGAACTGTCTTTCTTGCTCATCATTCATCAGTACCTGGCATAGTTCCTGGGGCATAGTGGGCCTACAACACACCTCTGAAGGGTGCCTTGAGGAGCCCATTGTGGAAAAGTTGGCATTGCTGATCTTGTGCTTTAAGCCATGGTGATTTAGAGAATTGTGGAGACAGGAAGGAGACAGCTATGTGTAGTCAGCCTTAACTATATGTGAACAGACCTAACAGCCTGAAAACCTGGTCTTTTGCATTACATCAATGCTGGAAAAAAACATCAATAATATAGTTTGCAGCCCCAGCCACCCCTATGATGTCATCAACTCTAAAAAGCACACGTTTTTGTATTTTAACAACTCTAAAACTGGAAGACCTCTGAAAATTGGTGGTGTGCTTTAGGGATCGGTGTAAATCTCACAGTTGTAACCAAGAGCTACTTTTCTTCTTAGGGGAAAAAGAAAGGTGTGTCTTGTAATGGATGGTGGCTAAATTTTGGTGAAGTGCAACAAGGCCAAGATAGACCTCATTTAATTCAGCAGCTTGTGGAGAGCCCTCGGTCCCTGCCTTCACAGTGCTCCTTCTGCTAGCGTGAGAATGCACCCCAATCTGAGGAGCATCCAAAGGCTTGCACTCCCGCTGTCTGGCCTTGGGGACAGTCAGATCTTCTGTGGCAGGAACAGGGGGCTGCGGCACCAGGTCACTCTGCATGGGTATGGTGCACAGGCCAGGCTGGATCTAAGCTCCTGCTCCCAACCGGCTGCTCCACCCCCGGATTCAGTCTGTACAATGGAAACGATCTCTGGTTTAGGCTTGGGGGGATTTGAACACGCAGTGTCGTCTCCCAGTGCCCTGTGCCTGGCTCTGGGCTGTTGTTGTCGGACACTGGCGATGACTCTTCCTGCCAATTGCCCAACCCTCCTGTGCTTCCTTCCAGCCATGGAGCCCATCACCCAGGACAAGCGCGTCTCCCAGGGCCACAACGGAGACCTGTACTTCTCCAACGTGATGCTGCAGGACATGCAGACCGACTACAGCTGCAACGCGCGTTTCCACTTCACCCACACCATCCAGCAGAAGAACCCCTTCACCCTCAAGGTCCTCACCAGTAAGTGCTGGCCCCTGCCCGGGCTGTGGCCGCAGAAGGAGCCCCCGAGCCCTGCAGCCATGGCTTTATGTGGTCATCAGTTGTCCTCCTCCCACATTCAGCTTACTTCTTTTATTTCTAGTTAATGTTTGGTTATCCTTATTTCTAGAAGAAAGCCAGAGCGTAATAAATAAAATAAATTGGATTTGATTCTGTAATAGGTATTTGCTGATCCATGTGGAATCGCTGTTTAGAAGCTGCATGTTCGTTTGACTTGATTTGTTTCAGTTTTTATCCCCTGATTTTCTCTGATGCAAAGCAAGTTACGTATCCTGCCCAAGTACAGTGTTGGTGAGGAGCCGTGAGGGAAGTTTAGTGAGCAACGCAAGGACAAGCCAGCCTGGAGCCTTGGCTTCGAAGCCCTCAGCTTGCTGCACTTGTGCACCCCTGTAATCTCAGCCGTGGGGGAGGCAGAGGCAGGGGAAGGCAAGTTTGAGTCCGGTTTGGCAACTTAGGGGGCTTTGTCTCAAAATTTTAAAAAAATTGTTACAGGGCTGTCGGGATAGCTCAGTGATAGAGCACCCGGGGTTTGATCCTCAACACTGGAAAAAACAAATCCTCAGCTTGCTCACGCCATTGAAAGTTGTCCCTGTTGGCTCTCACCGTGGGTGGATAGCACGACTGCTGTAGAATAGGAGCCCTCAGTCTGTCTGACTGCTGCTGTGGCCCTGTCGGCGCTGCGGGTGGCGAGGATGCTGGGGAGGTCAGGCCAAGGGCAGGGCCTCGAGCCCTTCCTTTTCCTCTTCCCTCATCACTTCCTGCTGCTGACAGGACAGGCGCACTGCAGGCCATCGGAGCCGCATCCCTTTCCTGGTGACAGGGAGGGAATCCATAAGGAAGCAGCTTGTTTTTAGGTTCCACTTCTCATGAAGTTTTCCCTCCTTTTTCTCTTGATCTCAATTTTTCTTTTCCATTTCTTTCCTCTCTCTTCTTCCTCTTTTTTGTTTTCTTTTCCCTCTCTCTATTCTTCTCTTTCTTTGAACTGCACTTCCCTCCCCGGTCACTGGCTCCTGGCTCTGTGGTGTTCCAGGGGAACACTGTTCCCAGTGTGTTGGCTGCCGTGGTATGACCTTCCTTGGGATGCCCAGACCCCAGCAGCGAGCCCCACGTGTTCCCGTAGGGCGACCCCGCTCTGCTCTGCTTGCCCCTGACCCTGCGTTTCTTATTTCTGATGCAGGCCCAGGGGCCCCGGGAGAAGAGAGCTGGGTTTGTCTGCAGCATCTTCTTGCTGTCCCCGGGGTCTGCCTGCCAGCTGGCTGAGCTGGGGTCACAGTGTGGTCTACCCAGGACCTGAGTGGCCTCAGTAGCCCAGGCAGACCCAGCAGTGAGGAGGAGCCAGTGGAAGGAGCAGGAGGGCTCCCCTAGCTGACCCCATACAGCTCCACATTACTACATGGTCCCTTCATGCCCAGGCCGGGGCTGGAAATCAGCCTGCTGCTCCTGGCCAAGTACAGCAACCGTCTGCCCTCCTGGCTTGGAGATGGAGGTGCAGAATGCTCTTCCTCTGTAAAATTAAACACACAGAAGTTTAAGCAACATTTAGAAATTGAACTTTGTAGAAATTTCCCCTTCTCATGCAGGGGATGTAAAGGATGTTCATTTCTGCCTCATTTCTGGGCCCCCTATTCCACTGAAAACTCCAAAGGAGAGGAAACCCTCTAGGTGACTGGAACCAAACCCCGCCAGCTTCCTGGAGTTCTCCCAGGATGGCTTTGGCTGGAAGCAAGTTCTGAGCAGCAGAGCCAGCCCAGAATTGGACACAGTTGCTTAAAATAGCACAGTTGGGCTCTTTCAACTTCCCTGTCTGGAAAGGACACAGGCTTTTTCTTCTACCTTCAGAACCAGGCCTGGGGATGGGAAGCGAAACAGCCTGCCTACAGTTTGCCCTTCTAGAAGAAATAAATCTCATCACAACTTTTTATTAACTGTGTTAAAGGACAGAGGAGAAGATATAAAATGGCAAATATTGGGCGATCTAAAATAATTTTTTTATGGCTAGGGATGCAGCTCTGTGCCAGAGTGCTTGCCTAGCATGAGTTTGATCCCCAGCACTACATAAATAAATAAAATCCTTTTTTAACCTGTTGGGGATGCACTAAGATAACCAGTGGAGTGAGACCTACAGAGATGACCCTGTCCCTCCTTCGGGGCCCAGGTCCCTCCATGAGCTGAGTGTGCTCTGTGCTCCCTTCTGCTTACTGAGTGACCTTCCTAGAGGAGGCGGGAAGTCTCCCTGACTCTTAAGGGAGCTCCAGAGGTCAGCTGTGAGCAGGAGGCTCCCTGCACCTCGTGGCCTGACAGCATGAAAGAAGGACCCTTTCACCTGTGGGGGGCGCTGGAGAGGCAGGGAATGCCCCCTCTATCCCATGCCACCTGCCCCTTCCTCCCACTGAGCAGCAGTCCCTGCCTTTAGCTGCAGATGGACCCAAGCCCATTGCCTCAGTGGGCAGGTCTTGCATAGCACACCTGATTTGAAGAGGTAGTTCTGAATAATGAAAGTCCTCCTTCCGGCTGTCAAGCAGATTGGAGATGCAGTGCAATGCCAGTCCCAGAAAAGAACTTACATACACTCATAATGAGTCGTAACAGGATTTGATCTGTCTTCAAATATGCAAATGTTTTGGCACAGCACCTGTGCTCCCAGCCCCCACCACCTGGCAGTTTGTGTCCTAGGCTGCTCAGGGCTGTCTGCTTGACTTCCAGTTGGCTGTCCACCCCCACCCCGTGTCGGTACTGTCAGAAGTGAAACCCTGGAAGGGGCAGGGGTGGAGTGGTGAGTCAAAAGCTACTTAAGGACATCGGCTATGTTTGCGTGTCCTGTTCCAAAATGTCTTTTCACTGAGGAATAAAGACCCAAGGGATCTAATGATCCTCGTATTGGAAGCAAAGCCAGCACACGTAAGGAATGTCATCATGTCGTCATGCCAAGGCAGTCTGCAGAGCTCTGATCTCCAACGTAGTCGTCAGGCCCTGCCTGGAGCGAGGTGTGGCCCTCACTGCCAATCCCCTCACTCTCTTGTCCCCAGCTCCGCTTCTGATTCTAGCGCCAGACCCTCACCTCCCCCCCTGCCTCACTGCAGCACTCCCCACAGATAGGTCAGAGACCACCAAGGTGCCCACCCACTCGCATTTTCGGGGGACAGATATGGCTGGGCACTGCAAGGGTCCCTCCATCCCCTCCCTCTGTCAGTGACTCTCTTCTCCCATTCCCTCCCTCCCTCCCCCTGCAGCTTAGTTTCTGCTCCCACAGGACTTGGCTCTTGGCCCCAGAGCTCACTAACACCCCTTTTTCTTCAGCTGCCCCAGCTCTGGCCTGGCCCGGAGTCCTGGGAACTGAGGACTCTGATGAGAAGTTGGTCCTAAGGCACTGCAGGATGCCACTGGTCCTTTGTCTCATTTGTTCAGAACCCAGTAGGACCAGGCAAAGTGCAAGCCTAATTTCTTCCGTTCCAAAGAGACTTATTTTATTCTTGCCCTTTTTCTTTTGCAGGACTTAACCTTTTGGTTCCTTTGTGGGCTGCTTTGTGTTGCTTGTTCTGCACCGAGCACCTTCCCCATGCCAAGCGTGCCGCAGCCTTCCTTTGCCAAACACCACTGGCCCTCTCCTCGGTTGTTTTGTGGCTTTGCGTTTCTGTTTCTTCTCTCCCTGTGTAAGCCTCCATGACTCTCCGTGGCCTTCTGTTTGCTCACCCTCTTTTGTTTATTGCAGACCACCCCTATAACGACTCGTCCTTAAGAAACCACCCTGACATGTACAGTGGTGAGTGGCCACAGTCACCTTGGGAATAACCTCGCCTGTGCTAACCCAGTTTGCCTAACTTAACTGATACCGTGTGGTTAGCTCCTGCTGGGTGGCAGGGCTGACAGGTGACGCCCCGGACACCGCCCACCAAGAGGGAGGTGGCTCGTGTGGGCGTTTGAGGTGTTCACGGGGTGATGTGGTCTCCCGAATGTGCGACCTCAGGGTGCTGAGCTTGCAGCAAGTCATTTCCACCGAGGAGGGCTTCGGCGTACACGTAGGTATGAGCGGTGGGCAGATAGACAGGCTCTGAGCATGGGCGGTGCCCACAGGCTGGCTCCTGCCGGTGTCTAAAGACCACGCTCGGCTTTTAGTTTAGTTCACTCCTCGGGGCCTGGATAAGAATTACCTGCTTTGTAGCATAGTCTCAGCTCCTGAGAGTACAGCTTCACAGCTAGGCCCTGGATCTCCTTAAAACCCACCTGGAAAATGGGAGTAAGAGTCCAGATCAGAGTTCTCTTTTCGGGTGAGTAGAAGTGACATTGGACTATCTCTTCTTCTCCCTCTCCTGGGCCTCTTCTCTACCCTGGTAGTGTATACAGATCCAGTGCCACCAGTCTACACTTGCGAGTCATGGAACAGTTACAATGGGATATGTTTCTAACTCACCCCACAACCAGCCGTTAGTCTGATTCATTGGCTGTGTCCACACCTGAGTTCCCCCTCACCACAGATGGAGATTCTCTTGTTTTCTTCAAGCGACCAAAGGAATGGTCATTTGCTGGCTCTGGTGAGGCAGCTGGGCCCCATCAGTTATGTCTTGGAAATGCAGGTCCTCAAGGGGGCCGTTGCAGACTCAAATAATTGGGAAGTGTCCAGACTGCGATGTGCTAATGTAAACAGTGCTAGTGTCTAGATGGGGGATGGAATGAGGCAGCGCAAGCCAGGCAAAGAGGCAAAGACTCCAGCTTGGCCCCAAGCGGCTAGAACCACACTGAGATCCTGCCGAGGAGATTTACTGACCAGAAAGCAGGGGACCCTTGTTGGAGTCTGGGCATTGTTTGTCTTCAAGATAATGGGGCCAACCACTATTGTGTCAAGAGCCCCAGAGCACTGGTGTGGCATGTGCCTTTCTCTAAATTGGATTCCAAATAATCTATTATAGGAAGTACTCCAAAAGCCAGAATATGTCAGAGCCATAAGGTCCCTCTGAGACCATGTGGCCCAAGCTCCTTGCTGTATATAAGATAAACCATGCAAGGAAATGTGCACATAGTTTTCTTATCAGCTGAATTATATTGAGCGATTCCAGCCCCTTACACCAGTTTGTAACCAGTTGTTGACATGACAAGCAAATGAGTAGGTGTTATGAGAACCGCCCAGGACTGCAAAACCAACAAAACTTCCACAGAAACCGAGCCCTGGTCCTCAACCCAAGGTAAAACAGGGCTGGCCAAAGAGTGAAGCTGCTGGAAAGGCTATAAAGTCAAAATGAGGCATACATGGAACAAAGTACAGTGAGGCTGATGGTTCTAGAAAGAATCAGAAAGTGAAAAAGGGAAGAAGTAACAATTCCTTCCCAAGCACAGGAAGCGAGGCAGAGAGGCTCTGTCTATGGCAGACATCTCTCTCGGCTCTGAAACCTGACATGTTTCTTTGGGTACCCGTTGGGCTGCCCCGTACTTCTATTTTATTCTAACATGGTCTGGTGTCCTCTGAACATGGACAGATTTACCCTGATGGCTGAGTGGCAGGGGAGGCCATGGGTTCCCCCAGGCAGGACAGCAGGTGGCTCAGGATGTGCACCTGGAGGCAGACTGCTGCCAACTGAGTCCCAGCTCCAGGGCATGCCATTGAGTGACACTGGACAAGCCATTTAATGCTTTAAGCTTTAGTTTCTTCCTCTGCCAGATGGAAATATTGCCAGCCTCCTAGGATGGCAGTGGAGTTTAAACAGGATAAAGTGCTTATGGTTCCTAGTAAAGTATCAGACACATTGTCGACGCTTGATCAATGTGATACATTATCAGCTTTAGAGGGAAGGATTTAGTGTTGACTGTTTCATGGATAGTCGATCTGTTTCTGAAATTAAGAGAAACAGAGAGAACTTGAAGAGAAGCCAAAGGGAGAAAGGCCAAAGGGAGAAAGGTAGGCACACTTATGGGGGAAAGTCCTATGCAGGGAGAAATTGGGGATAGACCAGAGAAGCAAAAGCTGTCCAGATCCTCAGCTATGCTGAGAAAGGGTAAGAAAAATGCTCCAGATACTGCACGAGGAATTTGAGCTAGACTCACGGAAGAAATTTCCTGGCAGTGAGAGGTATCAGGTGTTCTTAGACAGAGTTTTCCTCATCTTCTGGGCCCCTCTGATCAGCCAGTCCTACAGCCAGAGATGGATGGGATGCCAGGAATCCAGCCCCACGGGTCTCTGGTTCTTTATTCTGAGAATCAGAGGCAGCATAGCAGTCTGGATATAAGAGCTAAGCTGTCCCTAAAATCTGGCTTTGGCAAAGCTCCTGCATCTGATTCATCAAGCTCTCTTGTGCTGCCGACAGTCAGTACTTGGCAGAAGGTAGCAGCTAAAGTTCTCAGTATTCTTAACTTTCCCTCCAGCAGGAGGCGCTCAGAGCTACTCTGCACTGGACCTTTAAAGCCAACATGATTGGTGTCCTCTCTTGATGTTCTCTGGTGGACTGTGTGGACCCACTCTGAGCCACCACTTGGGAGAACGGTCAGGTGGGTCCACCTAGGTGGCTCTGCCTGTGTCCACACAGACGTGAGCTGTAGCATCTGGATTCTGAGGTTGATCAGATGTTAAGTCAGGAACCTTGTAGATCAGGAAGAGTGACAGCACATCATCAGCGTGGACAGGCTCTCCGGGGATCTCTGCCTTCATGGTGAAAGAGGCCAACCTCTCACACAGGAAGAGACACGCATCTTCCACTATTTAGAGTTTCATACAGTGACTACCTGTGTCTCGGCAGTTCCTCTGCCTGCTTTTCTGGGGGAGGAAATTAGGCGCACGCTCTTGAGAACAGTGGCTCCCAAAGCCACCAGCTGGGTCATCCTGCCTAAATTTTCACGTAAATTCCCACTGCTGCGTCTGACCACATTTCTCCATAGACCACCCTTTACACCAGTCTCATTGCTTAATGGTGTCCTATGTCACCTGACTCTTGCAGACTTTCCATGCCCTTAAAAACCCGGTCGAGCCAAGCATGATGGCACACACCAATAAACTCACTACTTGGGAGGCTAAGGAAGGAGGACCACAAGTTCAGACCCAGCCTGATGGACTTTGATGATGATGATGATGATGGATGGTACAGAAGGGCTGGGGACACGGCTCAGGGTAAAGGCCTTGGGTTCAATCTCCAGTACTGAAAAAAAAAAAAAGAATCCAGTTGATCTGCCCCTGAGCCTCTTCAGATCCTCTGCAGCTGCTTTTTTTGCCAGCGTGGGTCTGAGTTTATCTCAGAGTCGCAGAGGACAGATGGAATCTTAGCTGAGAACGAGAGAAGAGTCAAGCATCATGGCAGTTTCACCAAGAGCTCACTAAGACAAAAATGTCGCTCTTCTCCATCTCTTTTGTCCTTGCATTTTGATTTTCTTTGCTTTGGATTAAAAAAAAAAAGTCCCAGAATTGACTGTCAGAGCAGGGACGAGAGGGCCTTCATCTTTAGGCAATTTAAAGCAGGTACAAAACACAGGTTTTGGTACCAAATAGTCTAGAGTCTAAAACATAATGAGCTTGTGATGCTGAACATCTCTGTTGACCTCACAAAGCCTCAGTTTTCTCTGCTAAACATGGGGTGATCCCCCAAGTTTGTTGTGGTAAATGTCATGGCGATACAGATGGAGCTGTCAGCTCAGTGGCTTGGCCCTTAGTAAACGCTCCCAAGTGGACCCTCTGACTTTTAGGCTGTTCTTTTCTTTTCTTTGAACTTGGCTCCTTTCCCAGTCACTTCTCTTTCCTTAAGATAACTCTGGGTTTCCCAGCCCACATCCTCCAAATGCAGCATCGCTACAGCATCTCTCTGGTCACAGCTACCATGTGGCACAGCACCACAACGGGTCTCCGTGCTGATTGTCCTCCCCCTGTCCTCACTGCTTCGCTCTTCATCTGTGCATGTGGCGCTGCATGTTGTGGTGTGAATTGAGTGTCCACGGGCTCACAGACTGGCTGCTGCAGATTAGGCCCCGCATGGAATGAGCTGGGACGCTTCCCTGTCATCACGGGGTTCCCAGCTCACCAGCCTGACACGAGAGCCTCCTGCCCTGGACTGTCCTCCTCATCATCGTCCCCTTGACCTCGCATCATCTTGACTGTTTGGTGACTGTGATGAAGGGCGGGGGAGGTGCTCTGTTGTCACTGGGGTCTGGATGTTGTGAGCTCTGTATATATAGATGGTAACCGATTAACCACATAATGGATTAACCCCTCCGTGGTCACTGTTGTGTATGTGTGTGCTGGTGGGGCAGATGAAGACCAGTACCAAAAGACAGATTAATGTGTGGGGTAAACTGTTGTCCTTTTTGTTCTGTTTTTCCCCTTTAATTCATTCATCCCGCAAGCATCTAGTGTTGTGCCATGTTTTGTGCCAGCAGCCCAAATACCCCAGCATAAGTGTCATCATTTCTTCCCGGCACAAAGGGTGAAAGAGAAGCAGAGTCCATGAGATGCACTGCACAGTGACTGAGGGGAGAGAAGCTGAGCGCTCCTGGGGCAGGAGCTGCCCTGGCCCAGCCAGGCAGCAGTTAATCCACCCAGCTCCGATAGGAAGCACCAGTTACAGAGACGGAGCCCACACCACCCTCCTCGTGCTGCCAGTACCAGTTAACCCAGAACAGACGCTTTGTCCAACTCCAGGCGCCTCCGAGGGCCCCCAGCTCCTGGCAGCTCTGCCTCCCCCACCTCCACTTGACCAGCTGAGCCTAAGACGCACTGAACCCACGAGTAGGCCCCACTCCTGTTTTTATTTTTGTCTTCTTTATGGTCATACCCCTGGACAGGGGGTGCCGCCTCCATTTTTCCTTGGAGTTTCTGGTTGGAAAAATCCTCGCTTTTCTCCATTCATTTTCTCCATCCATCTTTTCCATTTCCTTAGAGCCATACAGAGAGCTCTGGGGGTCCACTCCACCGGTGCACCCAGATCCCCATGGCGGTGGCCATCCTGACGTGTCTGCCAGGAGCCATCTGGCCTTTAAAACACACACGAACTTCACTGATTGCAGCCCCGTGGCTGCCCCTGCCTCGTTGGATTGTAGATCACCCCGTCCTTCCGTCTTGACTGCCACTTCCCTCTCCCCCTCCCCCATTTTCTCACTTGCAATTAACACCCTCCTCGAAGCCCCTTCCCGAAGTCATTAGTGAAGAAGCAGAACGGTCCTGGCCCCAGAGTGATTTCCTGTCATCTCAGCTCATTAATCCTCGCCATGTCTTTGCTCAGCCATTAATAACGCTCCCTGCCCATCCTGCTGTTTATCTGGGGCTTCGGGCTTCATCCCAGCTCCTGTCTTCAGGGTCCCAAAGGGTGGCTCGCCTGTCCTGTGGCCCCAATTCATGCCCTCTCTGTCTTCCACATCCCTCTCTGGGGACCACCACAGTGGCCTGTGGGACCCCAACATGAGATGCTCAGGGAACTGAGCTCTTGCTGCTCAGTTCCCGTCCCAGAGAAGGGGAGATTCCCTGGACTCCGGGAAGCTCTTAGAGCTGGTCACACACATGGGCTGAGGAGCCCAGGGTCCCTAACACCCCTCTCTTACTGATGTCCTAGGGGTGGTTTGGGCTGGGAGGGTCCAGCAGGGGGTGCGATGACACTTCTGTAGCCCCACAGCTTTGGCCTGTCTGGGTCAGCCCTCCAGGCAAGAGCTCACTGGAACTTGTTCTGTCCTGTTTCAGCCCGAGGAGTTGCAGAAAGAACACCCAGCTTCATGTATCCCCAGGGTACCTCAAGTAGTCAGATGGTGCTTCGCGGCATGGACCTCCTGCTGGAGTGCATCGCTTCTGGGGTGTATGTACAGTTCGCACCCACTTCTAGCCACCCTCCAGGAGGATGGGGTGGGAGTTTGTCCATGCTTGTTCTTGCTACCTCTGGGGACACACCAGTAGTACAGCAGGAAGGGAAGCTGACTAATAAGCAGGGAAGCCCCTAATGAGTAGGATCTTGCAAATCATAGTCATCTTCCTCCCAGTCAGCCATCTCTGTTTTAGAAAATGAGGAAAGGAGGTGGTTGGGCATCTGACATGTGCAGTAGGCTCTGCTGGGATCTTAGCTAAGTCCCTTGGGCCCTCAGTGGCTGAGCATCCTCCTCCTTCCTGGGCCCAAGTACTTTCCAGACACCTGGAGTCCCAGGCTCTCCAGAAGCCCAAGGCCACATTTAGTGACGAGTCTTCTGCCTCCTGCTTGGTCTCTCTACCAGCCCCACACCGGGTATCGCGTGGTACAAGAAAGGTGGGGACCTCCCATCTGACAAAGCCAAGTTTGAGAACTTTAACAAGGCTCTGCGTATCACCAATGTCTCGGAGGAGGACTCTGGGGAGTATTTCTGCCTGGCCTCCAACAAGATGGGCAGCATCCGGCACACGATCTCGGTGAGAGTGAAGGGTACGTTGTGTGTATTTCTCATTATGATGATTTTGCCAACCCTAAGCACCATGCCCACCCCTCCCTCTGAGCGTGGTTGGGGGCGGACTGAACAGGGCTCATTACAGCACAGTGCTTGGTGGGAGCAGCAGCCTGCCACAGGTAGAGTCCCCTGGATGTGAGACTGTGCGCACACACGTGTGTGAGGAGCTGGGCCATGTTGATCTACTTTGACCATCACCCCATTCTCCTCGGTGCCGGGGCTCCCTCAGCAGGTGAATTTCCCACCATGGCCCATCTGGATCACTCTCAGAGCCTTTTCTTTCACTTTGCATCCCTGTCTGTGACCTGTTGTCCTCCTCGCTCTGTGCCGTCTGTGTATGTGTGCATGGTGTTGTGCTTCTTTTGAAGGATGGGGAGTCATCATGGCCCCAGCTTTTTAAAATCACTTCCTTCCCCCAAAGCAGGGATGGCCCACCTGAACTATTGCGGACAACGGGGCACCTGTCTTTGTGGGTCCCGGCCATGTGGGTGACATGAGTCACTTCTTCACCCAGGGCTGCATGGATGACTGGGACAGCAAGGTCTGGGACCGGAGCACAAGAACTTTCTTAGCACACAGTCGATTGGTCTCGGTTTCGGCACTGCACACAAAGTTGGGAGTTGTTAGCCTTTGGGGGAAAGCAAGTAACAAGATGTTTGAGAATCTGATCCAAAAGACCCTTTCCTCAGAAAAATCCACATATCCACAAAATAATTAAAAGGGGTAACCAGCTCAGAACTGCCCTAACCAAAGTTTGGTGCCCAAGAGGATGAATAGAAGGCCTTTTCTAGATGGTCTGATCTTCCAACAGCAGAAAACAGAGGGAGCAACCCAGTGCCATGAGTGGACCCATCAGGTGCATGTTATAAACACCCGTGAACTCAACAGGCATCAACCCCTCCCCTTCCCCCGGAAGCTATATCAGTAGATTGGAGATGAGTCCCAGCTCAGGGTACTGTGCTTGGTTTTTTAAAAGCCTTCAGAGGATCCTCCTGAGTGGCCCCGCTTTAGAACTACAATTCTGTGAATTTGAGTAGACAGATGGGCATCTGCACAGCCATGTGCAGGCTGCACTGAGCCATCACCATGAGGATGAGTGCTGGGCGGTACTGGGAGTCCAATGGTGGACTTGGGGTCCTGCTTCCTCCTGGGGACCCATGTGGGTTCCCCCGCCTGCCCCATGCCAGCTGACTCCCCACCTGTGTCTGCCTTATCTTCCAGCTGCTCCCTATTGGCTGGATGAACCCAAGAACCTGATCCTGGCTCCTGGAGAGGATGGCAGACTGGTGTGCAGAGCCAATGGGAACCCCAAGCCCACTGTCCAGTGGATGGTGAACGGGGAGCCTTTGCAGTGTAAGTAACAGGCTACTGTCCTACCTGACCTTGCTCTCTGTCCCGTCAAAGGTTCCAGATCCCCATCACTGCCTGTTATACTAAGGGTGAAGGAAGAGAGGAGCCCATGGGTTGCTGCCTCCCAGTAGCTCATCTCTTTAGACCTCAAAGAAATGGGGAACCTGCCTTATCTTTGTACAAGAGAGAACAGGAGGCCTGGAGCCCTGTGGTTCTATTTCCACATTTAGGGGATTTCTGCTCCCTTAGTTTTTTCTTCAGTCTTTGCTCCCTGCCCCATAACAACTATAGAGTCCAGCTGTAGGTCTGGGCCTGCAGCTGCATCTCGGATGGTTTGGGCTCTGAGCAGTGGCCGGAGCCTAGGAAGTAGAGGAGAGCTCTTAGTAACCCCTTGTCCTTGGTTCACCAAGCCATACTCTCTGATAAGGGCAAAATAAGAGGCAGGGTTCTGTGACAACATGGAAGATAATGGTTGGATGTGAGGAGGAATTTCCCCACGGGAGCAGAAGTACACAGATGCAGGTATGAAGTAGGTGCAGACTTTGGGAAATTGTCCTGCCCAGAAGGCCGGAAGAGGGGACTCCACAGCCTCTTCCAGCTCCTGGCCTTGGTCAACTGTTCATGTCTTACTTTCTCCACTTGCATTCATTTTTTTCTAATGTCCAGTCATTGCTTAGTGTAAGGAATCAGAGGAAGTATAAGCAGTGACAGCAGCCAAATGGGGGCAAAACGTAGGCATGAACTCAGAATCCAACCTGAGCAGCAACTGATGGAAGCAGATGCTGAGACGGGAGATAGAGGAGCACGCCCCGTTTTCGACATTTCTCATGTGCCAGGCACTGTGCTACTGCTGCACCCCTGTTATCTCTTTAATCTCAAACGTGAAAGGTGAGCGACGAGGGCTCGGATTGGTGCAGTGAGTTGCCAAGATCCATGGCTCCGAAACTCCTGCCCAGCCCAGCACGAAGCCTCCTTACGATGGCCATGAGCAGAGAGGCATGGTCTGCCCTGCCGCCCACAGCTCCCTCCATCCTGGTGGCACTTGGCAGATAAAGCACGGTTTAGAGGAGTGGAGTCCTGGACAACCAGCCTCGGAGAGGGCACCTCTTCCCGGGAGCAGTGGGGGGTGACTGGCAGGAAAGTTGGCTTCCTGAGATTGCCAGGCAGGGCGGCAGCAGTCGTGTTGCCGGTGTTGCTGCCTTCATGCCTTCTGCTGAGTGAGGACGTGAGGCTAGGTGATAAGGATGCTGACCATCTCTTCATTTACCTTCTGCTGATTCCCAGTTCCGGGCCCAGACCCACTCATTATCTGTAAAGTGCACTCTCGGGGCCAGACGCCTGCTTCCTCCTCCACCCGGGCCCCTGGCAGGACTCAGTGACCCTCTGTGAGCTCAGGGACAGAAATCTCCAGTGGTTCCAGAGAAAAGTGGTCTTCCTTTAGTTTTCTAGAAAAGGTTTATTTTTACAGCCAATGATCACCGATCTTACTCTTCCTTAGAATGGGGAGAGATGGGAATGATGCCACCCATTTTACAGGTGAGGGAAATGGAGACCAGAGAGATGGACTGATCTGCCACAGGCCCAAGGCCCACAGCTGTGCCCAGCCTGTGTTCTCACACCCCAGCCAGCAGCACCCAGAGAGCGGCGGCTGGGGTTCCCTCTGCCTGCCTAGAGCAGGTTTCCAGGGAAGACCGAGTTGCTTTGGCAAGCAGCACTTGCAGTTTGCGTGGGGCCTTCAGTGCCTTATGGGCTTAACTTTGTGTGTATTCGGGGAAAGCTGTGTTCTGAGGATGGCAGGGCAGTGGGTTCTGTCCATTTGATGTTGCTTTATCCTTTTCAAAACACATTCAAGTATATGAACAGTGGATTAAAATGATGATAGCCACTGTGATACAGTGTTGCCAGACCTATGCTAATCACTTCATAAATGTAGAAATCTCAGGCTATCTTCACAAAATCCCCATGGGGTGATGCATTGTCCCCATTCTGCAGACTAGGAAATTGAGTGTTGTAGGTGATGTGGTTAGATTTGTTTCCAGTGCTTATGTTTCTATTTCCAAATCTTATGTTCTCAGCCGCAGTTGCCCAGCTGGGTTGAGTCCGGATTCAGGTCCCACTGGATGGATGAGAAACAGCTCCAGGGGGTTCCAGGGTCACACGGTGTGTCCAGTGTTGGGCCAGAAGCCAGGACGCACCCAGTTCTGCCTCTTTGCAGCACCCCTGGCACCTCTGGGTCCCTGGCCACAGCCCCAAGTGCTCTTCACTCTGCCAGGCGCTGTTTCTCACGAGGAGTGTCTCTCTTATCTCCAGCGGCACCGCCCAACCCCAACCGCGAGGTGGCTGGCGACACCATCATCTTCCGGGACACGCAGGTCAGCAGCAGGGCCGTGTACCAATGCAACACGTCCAACGAGCACGGCTACCTGCTGGCCAACGCCTTCGTCAGCGTGCTGGGTGAGCCTCCCCAGGGGCTTGGCCATGTCCCAGGTGCAGTTTGTCCTCTGGAGATTAGAAATATGTGCAGGTGAGGGGTGTCGGGATGGGGGCACACGGACTGAAGACGAGCTTTGTGGGAAGGGTGGAGGGCTTGGGCTCCTCAAAGCCAGATGAGCAGAACTAACTCCATCGGAGAAGCCAGTCTTGGCCCCTCCCCTCCCCTCCCCTGGTGAGAGAGCGCAACTCTGGCTCATTGGCTTGGGTGCCTCTATTGACTCCATGGGGTCTCCTGGTATCCCCAGGGGAAGCGGCTGTGAGCATGCTCACTGCACTCCCTGAGCAGCTACTGAACCTGCAGGACAACTGAGGGGAAAGCTTTGCAGACCCAGACGCTGGATGGGATGTATGTAGGTGTAGGGCAGACGGAAGGGTAAACTAGCTCCCTCCTCACCTAACCCTTAGGGGCTCCTAGGTGGGAAGGCTGGAGGGTGTCTGGGTGCCTGGAAGCTGCTCTTAGGGGAGGATATGCGGAAATCAGACCAAGGAGTAAAAAATGCAGGAATTGAACTCCACACCCAATATTGGCACGCTGGGAATTTCAGACGTCCCTCCGCGGATGCTGTCGGCCCGGAACCAGCTCATTCGGGTGATCCTTTATAACCGGACGCGGCTGGACTGTCCATTCTTTGGGTCTCCGATCCCCACCCTCCGATGGTAAGTCCCGGGAGACACCCTCCTGCACAGGGACCATCTGCCTCACCTTACCAGTTCCCATGTGGCCCATAGTAGTACTTACCGACCCTAAAGCATCAAACTTGGAAGGAAAGTGGCTGGTGATCTGGGTCGACCTCCTCCTTTTACAGAAAAGGACCCCAAGGCCCAGAGAGGTGCTGAGACCTGCCAGGGCCACCTAGTGGTCAGAGGCAGGCCCTGCAAGGCTTAGGGCTCCTGCTCCCAGCCTGAGGCTCCTTGAGCTGCCTGCGGTCTCCCTGGGGCTGGTCCTTTCTCAGTATGCTGTGTTCTGCTGCTCTGTTGTGAGGTTTAAGAATGGGCAGGGAAGCAACCTGGACGGTGGCAACTACCATGTCTATGAGAATGGCAGCCTGGAGATTAAGATGATCCGCAAAGAGGACCAAGGCATCTACACCTGTGTTGCCACCAACATCCTAGGCAAGGCTGAAAACCAAGTCCGCCTGGAGGTCAAAGGTAAGGGACAGGGTTCGTAGATAGGAGCTGGCAGGTGGAGGAGAAGGCTGTGTTCACAGCCGTGCAGCTGTGATGTCCCCTTGAGAATGCCCGCCGAACCCTTCGTCCTGGGAGGGCTCCCGTGCACTTGCATGTCCACTGGGGCCGCTGACTGGTCCAGGCGCAGGGACACTGAGGCAGCTTGTTATCAGCACGATCCAGAGGGCCAAGAAAGCTGCTCTCCACCCCGGCTCCCACCGCCACCCCAGAATCACGTCATCTCCCCGAGCCAGGAGGAAGCATTTGAGGACGTATTTACTGTCCCATGGCCCACACTGTTACCCCCACATACTACTTCTGCCACCTTCCGCGGCTGACCCACGGCCTCGAGGTTGGGCGTGTCGCACGGTGTGGCCTCGTGGGGGTGGTGGGCAGAGAACGGGCCAGTGGCGAGCTCCCGAATGTCTGCACAGACCCCACCAGGATCTTCCGGATGCCCGAGGACCAGGTTGCCAAGAGGGGCACCACGGTGCAGCTGGAGTGTCGCGTGAAGCACGACCCCTCGCTGAGACTCACCGTTACCTGGCTGAAGGACGACGAGCCGCTCTACATTGGAAACAGGTTCCTGCCCCGCCCTTCGCTCCTCCTGGTGCCAGCGTTGGGCACTTTGGCCTCCCTTGTTCCTCGTGACATGCATGTCCCCGAGAAGCTCCTGAGGAGCGGCTGACAGCCAGGGCGACTGCCCTCCTCAGGACAGGGTCCTCCTCGCCCTGTACCCTTCTCCCTCTCTCCTGTCAGCTCCCTGCTACCGTCTCCTTCACCTCATTTCACTCCGTCTCCTCCTCTCTTCCTGTCTTTCCCTCTCCTCCCTTTCTCTCCATTTCCTCCTTTCCTTTGTTTCCCTCTTTTCCTTCTCTGCTGCCTCCCTTTTCAGCTCCTTGCAGTACCGCTGTCCTCCAGTAGAGGGCAGGATTGCCCCAGCCCACCCTGCCCACTATAGTGCCACGCGTGCTTCTCAGCCCTCCTTCCACCTGGCCTGACTCTCCCCTCACCCGCATTCTGGTTTCACTGGTATAGGGGTGAGGCTCAGGTAGTGACTGTTGTTCAAGGCCCCTCTGAGGGTTTCTGATGTGCAGTCAGGGCTGAGGACCTGGCTGAGCCTCCCTCGCAGAGCCGCAGCAGCCCACCCACTTCCTCTCCCCTCTGTGCTGTGTACCTGTTCAGCGAGTGCGCCGGGACCCTGTGGACCTTGCCTGTCTCAGAGCACCAGGAGGGCTTCCCCTAGGAGGAGCCGTGGCTTCACATCCGGGCCCCCTGCCTCCCCCTTCCTTCCTTTTCCCTTCTCCCCATGGGGAGGAAGCAGCAGGCAGTGCCTGGCTCCCTACCCACCACCTATACTGCTCTGCAGGATGAAGAAGGAAGACGACTCCCTGACCATCTTTGGCGTGGCAGAGCGGGACCAGGGCAGCTACACATGTGTGGCCAGCACCGAGCTGGACCAAGACCTGGCCAAGGCCCACCTCACCGTGCTAGGTAACTGCCACTGCCCCAACCGAGCACTGCTGTCCCCTCCCCCTGCTTCCCAGCAACCAGAGCAGCAGCGAGTTCCACGTGGTCCCAAGGGCAGCGCCTGTGGTCAGCAAATGGCTGGCATAGTGACCTCCTGCCTTCCGGTCTCTGGGTTTGGGAGCTGCCACTTTCAGGACAAATTGAGGAACAGCTCAGCGCTCCCTTCTCCGGTGTGTGCAGTTATTACCTCCCCAAAGCCCAGCTGAAGGGCACCAGAGTAACAGAGAGAAGGGGGAGGGCTTCTCACTGTGATCTCTTTACCTCCCTTACAGCTAACTCCACTAAGTCAAGTAACTCGACCCAGCACTAAAGCTGATTCTCTGTGTTCCCAGCAGCCCTTGCGAACCCTTCTTCCCTCCTAAGCTGCTCCTCCTTCATGGTGGCCTTTCAGTGTGCCATGCACGGAGCAAGCTGATGCCACCTCTTCCGGTCCTGTGCCCAGGCCGGACTGCAAACACTAAGTCATCCCACACCCAGGGGAAGGTGGCCTGTCCCTTCCAGGACAGCAGAGCCCCTGCCGTCCCTGCCTCACCCTGTCCTCTTTCTGGACATCCTGCTGCCATGAGCACTGGCGCACCTTTGTCCCTCCCGGTGGACCCACTGGGATGGGAAGGAAACAGAGCCATGGAAGAGGCACAAGACCGCCTCTGTGAGCTGAGAGTCTCTGCAGAAGGGACATGAGCCATGCCAGGATGGCCTGGCGGGGGCAGCTGTCCAGTCTCGTCTGCCTGTCCCCTCCTTCCAGGGCACCCCTCTCCTTGTAACCTGCTAACCTGCATAACCCGTCTTCCCTTTGCAGATGATCAGGCCACTCCAACTAACCGCTTGGCTGCCCTGCCCAAAGGTAATTCCTACTAATCGAGGGCCTGGCCAGGGCCCTCCCCAGGCACCTGGGGGTGGGGCCGGAGGAAGAAGGTGCCACAGGAGAGGACTGTGGTCTGCGGGCTCCTGGCAACTGCACACCCCAACTCGTGGGACCCCCTTTCGGGTGCCATGTCCACGTTCTTGAGCCAGTGTCACACCCTGCTCGGGGCTCCTTCTGTAGGCTGACCGCAGAAGCCCGTCACTGCCACGTGGTCCTCTTTCCTTAGCTTGGCCACATCACCTCTGGTTAGAGGCCTGTTCGCCCCTGCTTGGCCGCAGAGCTCAGGAAAGCCTGCTCCAGCCTCCCCACATCTGCTGCTCTACATCCGGGTAGAGTCTACCCCCACGGGCATGCACACACATGTGCACACACATGCACCAGACTAGGATATTCCTCATGACTCACCTTCCATGTCAGGAATTCCTCGTGACTCACCTTCCTTGGCGTCCATGTCAGGGAGCCAAGATGTAGAAAAGTGTCTCACCTACCCGACTGGATGGCTTTATGCCCAGGCCAGGGTGGCGATGATCCTCACTAAAGCAGGCACAGGGGAAGGAGAGCTCCAGGAAAGTGCGGCCCTCACCCCTGTGTGGAAGCCCGCTGGGCTCCTCCAGGTCTCCGTGTCCCCCCTGGCTGGATTATCGGGGTCTTCTCCCCATTTTCCCGACCTTCTGCCCTGCTCAGCCTGCAGACCCATCCTGGGCTCTGTCCCCTCACAGCCCTGCACACAGAGCAGAAGGTGACTAACTCTCGGGACAGCCTGAGAGAATCTGCACTTCTGCCATAGCGTTTCTGATGAAGAAGGCGGCCTTTTCCAAACACTGCGCTCTAAGGCCGTCCACAGAGACAGGACAGTGGTCCCTTTCTCTATGCCCTTGCTCCACATCCTGTGATGTTCTTTTGGGTGGGGTGGAGCTTAGGGGTCCCCTGGAGGGAAGGGTGGGCCCTGTGCCAGTCTCCAGGGCAGTGGGAAGTGAGTCTGTCAGGGAACTGTCCAGGGCGGGACCACTGCATGGAGGGGCGGTTCCCGATGCTTCATGAGGTCTTCTCCTCCACCGCCCAGGCCGGCCAGACCGACCCCGTGACCTGGAGCTTACCGACCTGGCTGAGCGGAGTGTGAGGCTGACGTGGATTCCAGGAGAGGATAACAACAGCCCCATCACAGGTCCGCTTGCTCGGGGCCGAGCCCAGGCCCTCTGCTGTCTTGCCCACCTCTGCCCCGCCTGGCGTGTCCCTGCCTGTTCTCCCTGATTGCTTTCCATGCCTCAGGAAGAGCGCTCCGTGCGCCTCTGTGTGCCCCGGGGGAGATTATAAAGATGAAGGAAAGCCAGGGAGGAAGTGCTCCAGAGCGGGACGCTGCCAACTCAGCCCCGACAGCATCTCTGTCCCCTTCCCATGCAGAATACGTTGTACAGTTTGAAGAGGACCAATTCCAACCAGGGGTCTGGCATGACCATTCCAAGTTCCCCGGCAGTGTTAACTCCGCCGTCCTCCAGCTGTCCCCGTATGTCAACTACCAGTTCCGGGTCATCGCCATCAACGAGGTCGGGAGCAGCCACCCCAGCCTCCCGTCCGAGCGCTACCGAACCAGTGGAGCGCGTGAGTACTGAAGGCACCAGGTGCGGAGCTGGGCACCCTGAGTTCCTGTCGGGTTCCCCCAGTTCCCAGCCACATGAACTTGGGCAAGGTACTTTTCCACCTGTGAGACAGACCGGTAACCATGGCATCTGCATCACGGGCTACTGTGAGGACCATCTGAAAATGTGTGGTGCCTGGAATGTAGTAAGCATGCAGCAAATATTAACTGCCACTTTTATTATTATTGATGCTAGTATTGATTCTTGATTGCCTGCTGAAAAGGCGAGCACTGTGGCAAAGATGTGCAGCAGAAGCAGGTAGTCCAGTGTTGTATCATTTCTTTTCCTAATGTACTTGGGGAGTGTTTGGATTTCTGAAATCACAGCAGCTCATAGAGGATGGAGATGCTCCCCCACAACACATGAAACACCATGGATAAAGCAGCTGATGTGGAACGTGTTTAGTGGGTAATCCGTGAGGGGATGATCCACACTGAGTTGGCTTATTGACCACCCACTGTGTGGAAAGCTTATGATACATGCCGTCTGGTAAGGGATTACAGTGGAAATGAAATTAGCTCTGCTTTGGGAGTTTAAGTCTTAGCTAGCAAGGCATATCATGCACATGAGAAACAGACAGGGGTCCAGGGTGTGCAGGTGCTGAGAAAAGCCAGGGCACAGAAAGGGCCGGCCAGGGGGAGGGAGGAGAGCTGCATACTGACCCCGGAAAGGCACACTCTGGACTTCACCTTTGTGTCTGCTTGGGTTCCAGCCCCCGAGTCCAATCCCAGCGATGTGAAGGGAGAGGGGACCAGGAAGAACAACATGGAGATCACGTGGACGGTAGGAGGCCCTCCCCACCCGGCCCACAGTGGGCGGCTCACCGAGAGTCCTCTCCTTATACCCTGAGCCCCTGAGCCCCTGAGCCACGTGGGCTTCTGGCTGCCCTGCTCTGAGACAAGCTCTTCTCTGAGTTGGGCATCCAGAAACCGGACAGGACGTGTGTTCAGGAGCCAGGTATTGGAGCAGACAAGAACGGAGATAACCAAATTGCATGGACTGCCAGGCTGGCGGAACTCATAGAGAATGCCAGTAAAATAAAGGGGACTTCTTTTGAAGGAGAGACGTGGGTTAGTCTTCAGGGAAGACCTAGGAGAAAGCCCAGCACTGTGCTCTGTGTGTCCTGAGGTCTTTGCAGTGGAGCTGTTGGGAGCATCTGAGATGTGTTCAGGGTGGCCCCTTCTTTTTTGGGGGGGGGCGGGTACCGGGGATGGAACTCAGGACCTTGCGCTTACAAGGCAAGTGAGGCACCACTGAGCTAAATCCCCAGCCCCAGGCCCTTCTTTTAGTCATGGAGTGGCTAGGTGACAAGAAGGGCCACCTCCCAGCCAGGATTGTCAAGTCCCTTCTTCATTGGCTACATTTTCCAAACCAAAATTGGGATGCATGATCTCAAAATGACTTTTTTTCCAACTGTTTCCAAGTCTGGGAGATGCAAATGCAGCCACTGACACATTAGCATTTCTGCTGTGGCCCCAAGGGGTGGAAACCAGAAGAGTCGGAGAGTGCTTGGAATCACCTCGGTCCCTGTCTCTCTGAGGGCCTGACCTCCAGCCACCTCGCCCAGATACAGCAACCGCTCTGGGCCGAGCCCAGGCTCAGGACACGGGGCCCACAGCTCCACCTGGTGGGCTCCGGGGCTGATTCCTGGGCCAGGTCCTTAGAGCATAAAGGAAAGGATTCTACACCTAAAAGAATCCTGATCAGTTGGGAAGGACAGGCCAGACCCATATGGATTGGGTAGAGCTAACATCAGTGCTGGAGTTTGAGCTCCTGAGCAGGAGGGGCTCAAGGATGAACCCAAAACTCGTCCTTTGCAGACCTCGGAGAAGCCCAGCTCACTGTCTGGCTTTTGTTGTGCTGCTACTGTCCTAGAAGGGAGCACTGTTGAAAATCAAACCTGTACTCCTTTTGCACTGACAAGTGTGGGTGTCTCGGAGTCAGTGACTAGGTCTCTCTGTTATAAAAACTCTACATGCTACAGACTTTGCAAGGCTCTGGGCTTTGGGCCTCAGCAGAGAAGGGCTGTGCTCTCCCCTCGCCGCTCGGGGCCTGGCCAGTGTTGGACAGGTCCAGCGGAGGAGGGGGGCTTGGCTCGGAAAGAGAGGGCCAGTGATGGTGGACTCAGCTCCTCACCTGCTCCCTTCACCCTGCCCGCCTGTCTGTCTGTCCATCCATGTGCAGCCCATGAATGCCACTTCCGCCTTTGGCCCCAACCTTCGCTACATCGTCAAGTGGAGGCGGAGAGAGGCTCGAGAGACCTGGAACAACGTGACGGTGTGGGGCTCTCGCTATGTGGTGGGGCAGACCCCTGTCTATGTGCCCTATGAGATCCGGGTCCAGGCCGAGAACGACTTTGGGAAGGGCCCGGAGCCCAACACTGTCATTGGCTACTCGGGAGAAGATTGTGAGTACCTGCCTCTCCCTCTCCTCCCCGGCAGGCCCCTGCTGCCACTCGCGGCCAGGAACCTCAAGGAGGGTCGGGGAGGGCAGCTGGTTCCCAGAAAGAGAAACACTGCAGGCCCGGGGATTTAGCTCAGTGGTTCCGGCGCCTGCCTCACAAGCGTAAGGTCCCGAGTTCGATCCCCGGCACACGCAAAAAAAAGAGAAACACTGCAGTGACCTGGAGCATGACGGGAGGACAGGTCATCTGAACATCAGTTAGGGTCACTGAATATGATCACTTAGTCCGGCGCTCACGTTCTGCAGTGGTGAGAACGGAAGCCCAAAGAGAAAGCCCATGTCTAGGCTGTAATAGCATACAACAGGCTTGAAAACAGTGCCCAGGTCTCTGGATCCCAAGCCAGGCCCCTTCACTGCCAAGCCAGACTGGGACCAAGAAAGCCTCTTTCTGTCTATCCCAAAGAGCTCAAGGGAGCTGGGCCGCAGGCCAGACTCCTCCTGTGGGCAGGGCAAGCCCAGAGGGGTGTGGAAGCCTCCAGAGCACCAGACCAGCCACCCCCCAGCATTCCCAGTGCCGCCCGGCCCTCGGAACTGAGCATAGAAAGAGTTCTTTGGAGGTGGCAGGGGTTAGCAAGGTTTTAGACATGTCTGTGCCAGTGTGCACCCGGCTGCCAGAGGGTGGTGGCTCCTCTGTGGCCAGCACTCACTTCTGCAGGCTTCGGAGGAGAGCAGATCAGTAGAGTCCCCTCCTGGCTCAGGGTGACCCCTGCCCCATTGGGTCTGTGTCCACTCCAAGAGAAAACGGAGCAGCAGGGGGAAAGTGGACTCAGGAGGGGAAGGGCTGGGCCCAGAGTAGGGCCAGAGGTAGCAGATGTGAGGGCTGAGCCCTGGCGTGACCACGGGTTGGGTCCACTGGAGATGAGACGAGGCGTCGGCAGTGTTCTGTGCACCCCATTCCTCACCTCCACTTCCAAACAGGAGTCTAGTGGGAATGCTGGCCGGTAAGTGTGGACAGGGCAGTCTCTGGCCCGGGGCTTCCTGGCCACCCCACAGTTCCCACTACACCCGTCTACCGAGGGGCCTGTGCTCTGGTGCATTAGAGGGGCAGGGTGGCACACTTCTGCAGCAGGCAGAGAACAGAGGGGTGCGAGTCATTGTGGAAGAAGGAATGGTTCTCCTCTCCTGGGGATGGCAGGATCGGACTCCCTGCCTGAGTGAGGGTAGGGTGTCTCCAGTCTGAGCAGCTTCCTGCTGGCAGAAAACGGGGACACTAAAGGGACTGGGTGGCAGTATGTGGACGGGGTTAGAGGTGCACAGCAAGACCCCCGACCTCCTCACGGCTGGCAGCAGCAGGAAGCCCGCGTGCACTCCGAGCCTTGATGGGCAGGGGTGGAGGAGTCACCCCGACCCTGGGGGTGACCTAAGGAGTCACGGCCTTGGGGGGAAGAGTGCTAAGCTGCCCGCCTGCCAAAGAGAAAGCCGGGGAAGTGAGCCCTGGGCCTCATGCTGGCACCTCGGATGGGCCAGACTCACCCAGAAGCCAGAGAACGAGGGAGCCCAGCAGCTGAGGTCTAGAGAGTACTGACCAGGTCACAGGGCAGTGGGGAAGGGCGGAGAGTATAACGGGGCACGGATAATTTCAGGCGGGGTCCTCTTACCTGCTCCCCTTGCCCCCAGCCTTCCTCCACTCCTCTAAGCATAGCCTGACAGAGGAGACACAGCCCTGCCCTCCCGGAGTCCCCAGTGTCCAGTGGGGTGGACACAAGGCCAGGCCCTGCCTTTTAACCCGCTTTCTGCCCACGCATTGCAGATCCCCGGGCTGCTCCCACTGACGTTAAGGTCCGGGTCATGAACAGCACAGCCATCGGCCTGCAGTGGAACCGAGTCTACTCCGACACGGTCCAGGGCCAGCTCCGGGAGTACCGAGTGAGGAGGCTGCTCCCAATCCCCTAACAGCCCAGCACGCTAACCAGGGCAAGGGATAGCAGAGCTGGGGCATGGGGCACCAGGGAAATGCATTGGATCCAAAGTCGATTCAAGATGAAGTCTAGGATGAGCTGTTCAGAAATCACACCGAAGAAAATATGTACACAGTCATGAATCACTTCACAACAGGGCCATGTCCCGAGAAGCACATCCTTAGGCAATCTTGTCATTGCATCAGCATCAGAGAGTGAGATCCGAACCTCCCCGTGTAGATCTGTCACTCACTGCGGCCTCTTGATGCAGTCGAGGGACACAGTTAACACAAGCTGTGTACAGCTGCTGCCAGGGTAACACAGTGTACTGTGGTACAGGACATGCTTTTTAGAGTAGAAGGATGAAAAAGTATAAAATAATGATTGAAAAGTGCAGTGTAGTAAATACATGACCCAGTTCAGAGGTTGTTTATTACCATTACCAAACATCCTGAACTGCACAGCTACAGCCCTGGCCGTGCAGTGGGTTTGTTTCTACAGCACCACCACAAATGGGAGTAATGCATTGTGATGAGACATTTTGGTGGCTATGATGTCACCAGGTGATAGCACTTTTCAGCCCCACTGTGGTACCCTGGGGCCGCTGTCACCTGCGTGGTCCTTTGCTGAAGGTAACATTGTGCGGCCCGTGACTGTGTACATATGCTTGCTCCCAGATGTCTCTTGCAGAGGGTCTGCTGGGAGATTCTGCTCAGCAGAAAACCCCAAGAAGGGTGGTGGGTTTGGGCCGACATGGCACAGCACATGTGTTCATACGTGTGCGAGTGGACACACGTGTATCTTTGTGTGCAGTGTTGAGACTCCGCTGAGCTCTGCCCTCCCCCATGTCCCCTGCTGGGCTGTTCACCTCGCCAGTGGCTCCAGGAAGCCACCACTAACAGGCAAAGGCACTGAAAGGGTGCAAGCACCCTCCCTGTTGCTGCAGCCGAGTTGGGGTTCTGCAGCAGGCGGGGTGTCCAGGCCCTTGGCTTCTGGTGCTGCCCAGGCCCTTGTCTTTGGAAGGGTGAGCAAAGATGGGAGAGAAAACCCGGAGTGTACGAAGCGCTCCCTCTCTTCCAAGTGGGCTGGGAAGCAGGGAAGCTGTAACCTGGGTTAACGCTGGGCCTGTGGCCTCAGAGGTCATCAGGAGTTGGCTGGTGCTGGGAAGGGTTGGTCTCCTCCTGGAAAATGCCTTTGGCAACTAGGAGAAGGAAGGCACCCGAGTGAGCTCCTCCCCAGCAGCTGACTTGCACCCTTCGCCTACTTGCCTGGATCTTTTCTGGGTAAAGCCCCCATCGGGCCCTGCAGTCTGGACTTCCTCCTTACTTTTCTCTGGGCAGCATGGGTGACACTGCTTCGACAGCCTGACCTGTGGCTTCCTTCCCACATCTAATCAGACCTCCGCTGCACCCTGTGCTGTTACCACCTTCCATACCAATCCTGTCCCACCCAGGCTCCACCACCACACAACCCTGCACCCCACTGACTTGGACACGTGACTCTCCCCGGATATGTAACTGTCTCATCTCTAAACGTCTTCAAACAATGGGAAAAGAAATCATTTGGCTTCAAGGGATTAAAGCAGCCTTTGCTCACATCCAGCCCGCCAGGGGTGACCTGCTCCTTGTCAACTCCTGCCTGCTGCCCATCTAAACCATACTAATCCAACTCCAGGTGATGCGGTCTTTGGCCATAGAGCAGAACTTTCCATGCCGGAGCCCTGGCTCTTATTTGTGGTTCCAGCCTGGACTCCTTGAGCAACATGTTGTCCAGCTTGGAAATAAATCTTACGATGCCTGGGGTGGTTCAGATCCGAGTGTGGCCAGTTCACCCATTCCCTGAAGACGTGGCCATGTCTCTGAAAATGAGTGAATCCACAGCCCTATTTCTCGTTCAGCATAAATTCATATCCACCAGTGGCTAATGAGGGGAATGCCAAGGCTGCTCCCTCAGCCCCGTGTGGAACCGATGAGGCCATTTGGGACCTGGAGCCTGTAGCAAACAGAAGGAAGACCAGTCACTGCCACCACCACTAACCACTAACCCGATGTGCCACCCGGCCCCTCACCAGCCTACCTCTGTCCCAAAGGCCTACTACTGGAGGGAGAGCAGCTTGCTGAAGAGCCTGTGGGTGTCTCAGAAGAGACAGCAAGCCAGCTTCCCCAGTGACCGCACCCGGGGCGTGGTGGGCCACCTCTTCCCCTACAGTAACTACAGGCTGGAGATGGTTGTGGTCAATGGCAGAGGCGACGGGCCCCGCAGTGAGACCAAGGAGTTCACCACCCCGGAAGGAGGTAGGTGCGGCCTGCGGCTCTGCCGGGCGGGCAGGACAAGGGTAGCACGTGCCATTGGGCCTGGAGCAGCCCCAGCGTGGCTTGCCATGGACAGCACACAGTCACCTCTGTATGGCCTCAAGGAGCTGATGGCCTGCAGGCTGAGCGGCCAGTCACTGTCAGAGCTCTCCGTCGACAAGGCGGCCTGTCCTCATGGGAGGCTGTATCTCAAGAGAAGCCAGGTGGGGTCTGCTGGAGTGACTCCAGATGGGTGACGCGGACCAACCCCAAGGGATTGCGGAACTGGGCTGCCCCAGACCCTCAGGCAGCGCATCTGGCCCCACCTCCCGGACGGCTTGTCTGCCAGCTCCTAAGGCCTCAGCCTGTTCTCTCCCCACACTGCCAAGCAGCACTCGTGGAAAGCCAGGCTGCGTGCTGCCCTCTGCCAACCTGAGGCTCACTCAACCCCGGGGTGCAGACAGTGCGAAGTGCGGGTCGCCCAGGCCTCTCTTACCCACTTTGTATTTGCTTTGTCTTCTGTTTCTCCTCCTCCCTCCTGAACCATTGATTCTCCTTCTTCCTTTTTCCACCTCCTTTCTCTGCTCCTGTCTTCTTCCTCTTGTTTACTTTGTTCCTGTCCTTCCCTGCTCTTCAGTTTGGTTTTTGTCATCAGCCTGCTCCTGATTCCAGGTGCTCCACGCCAACTCCTTCCTCCTCTCATGAACCAGGCCAGCCACCTGGACCCAGGGGCAAGAATGCTTGTCTGAGGATTTGGAAGGCAGCTGTGATGGGTTCTCTGAGATGCCCTGCAGGGTTGGAGGCACCTTTGCAGGACTGGAGCTTGACATGTGCCAGGGTCATTGTTAGAGAGACACTCGGTCCACTTCCTGCCCCATTTAAACAGCAGAGTCCAAGCCAGAGCTGTCATCCTGGCTGAGCAAGGCCATTTCCCGAGTGGGGCAGTGGGCTCTGGCCCTCATCATCCTCCAGGTTCTGCTTGGGCAGCCATCCAGCCCAAGGTCAATGCCTTCATCCGGTGCTTTGTTTTTTGTTTTCCTTGTCCTCCCTGCCCTCCTGCCCCTCTGCCCCTTATGTCCCCTGCTCTCTCCTCCTTCCCCAAGTACCCAGTGCCCCTAGGCGTTTCCGAGTCCGGCAGCCCACCCTGGAGACAGTCACCCTGGAGTGGGATCACCCAGAGCACCCCAACGGGATCCTGACTGGATACACCCTCAAATACGTGCCCTGTACGTTCTGCCTCTCATTTTCCCTGAGATAATCTGAGAAACCCCTGTTCACCACCTTTCCTAAGGAAGGGAGGTAGAAAGGCAGAGGGATGGAGGGGACAAGGAAAAGCTCCCCACAGGGCTGCAGGAGGCAGTGCAACCCCGTCCCTGCTCTCTGTACACACAGACTAGGTGGCAGGGAGCTCCTAGTCTGACAGCGAGGGTGTGGGAATCGCCTGTCTAATGAAGGCGACAACCTGGCCTTGGGGATCTTACCATCCCCAGTGCCTCCAGGTCTAGGAGAGAAGAAAGTTCCTCATGCAGTGGGGCAGACTGTGGGTGTGCTGACACCCAGGGGACACCTTAACAAAGTGTCCTTTGTGTTAAGGTGCCCATATGTGGACCAGCCAAGCAACTTTGGAGTGACGCAAATCAGGGGCCTGGGGCAGAAAGGCCTCACCTTGGGATCTCAGTGTCACCATGCAGGGACAGGAGTGTCATTACAAGTGAAAGTGTTCGGGGTTTCTAGTGCAGTGTTGTGCCTCACCAGGGAACTCAAAGGGCCAGGTGCTGTACTGTTAACAGTTTGGTTAGCCAACCATGTGTTCGTGTCTATTCTGAATCTGTTTCTGGGCCTGGCCCCTCCGCCTTTGAGGCATATTCAATGTGTCTTTTACAAGAGGCACTAACAATCAGAGGCCCTGGTGGGTCTGGCCCACTTCTGTTTGAATGGAAGGAGAGAAGAGATTTGTCCCTGTCCAGAGGGATGGGGAACTGTGAACTGGATCTTTCAAAATCAGCCCCATGACTTTGTAGCAAGCTGGAGACTATGGGACTGTGAAGTAGCATGACCTGAGGTGGAGAGCAAAGACCAGGGAGGGGGTTCTCTGCCAGCGCCCTGCCTTCCCACCCAGCCAAAGGGCATCTGGGAGGGCCCCCATCCCTTTGCAGGGAGTCAGGAAGTCCTCTCCACGCCCCTGATTAAAGAACCCGTCAGTAAACACTGCTGAACTTCTGTTCCACTTACCTCTCTATCCCCAGTTAATGGAACCAAGTTGGGAAAGCAGATAGTGGAGAACTTCTCTCCCAACCAGACCAAGTTCTTGGTGCAGAGATCCGACCCCGTGTCGCGCTACCGCTTTACCCTCAGTGCCAGGACACAGGTGGGCTCGGGGGAAGCAGTCACGGAGGAGTCTCCAGCGCCCCCCAACGAAGGTAGGTCCACGGGGGAGCCCAGGGCTGAGAGGCCCCAGCCAATTTCATTGTCAGAGGAGCACACTGAGGGCTGGGCCTGGCCTTCCGGGATGGAGTGGGCATGAGGTTGGATTTTCCCGGCCCCAGACCAGACCGGAGCCAGTCTGTCTCTCCCTGTGCTGCGAGAGACATGCTGTGCTCGGATCTCACCAGGCCTGGGCCCCCGCGTTACCTTGAAATGCTCAGCTGCTTGTCCCTGACCCTCCTGCCTCCTCGCAGAGGAGTAAAGAAGAGAGCACTCGGCGGGGGGGGGAGTTTGTTGGAAGCTGTGCTCTGCTCCTGACCCCAGAGCATAGAGCAACTTCTCACCCGGGGAGCGAGGTGCGAGTGTGGCTGGGGATACCCAGTGAGGACGCGGGTACAACCCCTCTCTTCCCAAGGAAACATGGGGCCAGGAGGTGGGCAAAGGGTTACCCAGATCCCGAGTAGAGCCGGGAACGTTTCTCCCTGCACCCTGAGTTAGATGAGCTGTCGGGCTACAGAGAGGAAGGGGCTGGGAAACAGCCCTTTGCCAAGGCACGTTTAGGAAGAACCAGTGGGCTCATCTCCTGGGTCCTGGCATGTTCCAGCAGCGGTCTCCCGCCAGAGCCGCACCTGCCCTAGGGCTCCACTAGAAGGCGCTCCAGCCTCTCTCACACGGGTGCACACACAGGTTTCCTCAGGAACCTTCCAGGCGTGCAAGACTCCAGCAGCCTCAATACTGACAGACCCCTGTGAAAAACTGGGGTCTGCACCTCCGAGGGGCAGATGATCTATGCAACATCCATTGCTTGGGTACTCACATGGTGCGGTGCACCAGAAACACAGTGCAGAGACAGCCATACAAATATCTAATTGTCTGCCTCGTGAAGTGAAGGGGTGCAGTGGGCAGGCAGAGCAATGGCACTCATTCTGCAAGAAGGCACCCCAAAGAAGCTGGTATACTCTTCCCCCGCCCCAGGCACTCAGGAAGCTCATTAGGGCTGAGGGGCTTTAGGTGAGTGACTGATCAGGGCTTCTCCTGAAGGCCAGGCCATGAGGCACTTTCTCAATGGAGAGCCTTTTCCCACCCACATAGGATAGCAAACAAAACCCCATTGTTCAGCTCCAGTGACCTCCAGAGGGAAAGTTCTGTAGCCCCAGGGGGCAAAAGAACAAAGAGAGACTTTCTTTTCAACCTAGGGATCTGCAGAAAATTCAGGAGTTTTCGGGATGTGGTAGTGCAAACCTGTAATCCCAGCACTCGGGGGCTGAGGCACAAGGATTGCCTCAAGTTTGAGGCCAGCCTGGGCTACACAATGAGATATCAGGGCCAGCCTGAACTATAAAGCGAGACCCTGTCTCGAAAAACAAAGCAAAACAACAATAACAAAAATCAGGGATTTGTTTTAGGGCTCTCTGCCCACACTTGGGCTTTTAACTTCATAAGGAAGAACTGGCAAGAAATACTAGAGCGCTGGGAGGCCAGGTCAGTCCTCGTGCTTTGCGAGACTGACCTGGAATGCAGGGCCAGGGCTTGGGAGCGATGTGGTCCCCTCCCCTGTCTGCTGCAGTGCTGTTCAGCACCTTCCAGCAAAGGCTCAGGAACTGCCCTCCTGGCTGGGTGTCCTCCACCACCTGAACCTTAGACATTTCGCTCCTGGCGTCCTGGAGGGCAGGGCGGGCACACCCTTGGGAGAAGAGCTGGGGTGCAGCATCTGTGGACGGTCCCTGCTGCTTCCCCCAGGTGACCACTCCTTGAGCTGGGGTAGTCACAGGGTGTATTAGAAAGGCCTCCAGGACCCAGGTGGAAAGGTAGGTACCTGCCTGACTCCAGTAGGACTGAGCAGCACCCCGAGTGCCTTCTCTGCTTGCTTGTCCTGTGGTTTCACCTCTGCTCTGTTTTCTCTTCCTTCTCTCATTCTCCCTCCCTCTCTCTGGTCATCTTGCGTGCTGTGTCTGAAGCTACTCCAACTGCAGGTACCGTACAACCGCAGAGGTAATGGGCATGGCATGGGGCAGCACAGGTGGAGACCAGCCAGGGTGGAGCAGGAGGGAGAGGCTTGGGCCACAAGCATGCTCCAGACTCACCCTTTCACTGGTGGGGAAGCCAGACCTGCACGGAGTGGTCCAGAGAGCATGCTGTCCTGTCACTCCTGAGAAGGAGCATGGCATGGAAGGGTTCCCCCCTGGGCACCTGGCCTGCTCTCTAGTGCTGTGGCTTTCTCTGAGGCTGAGTGGTTACTTCCTGTGAACGGCCTGAGCCCTCCTGGGCTTGCCAGCTCAGAGCACAGAGCTGGCCCTAGAAGGCCTGCTGGAGCGGGGGCAGCTGGCTCTGGGTCAGGCCACCGTGCCCTGAAAGGGTGAGCGCGCTGTGCGTGCCGGCTGTGCATGCTGCATGAGGACACCAGCACCAGATCTGCCAGCTGCCACAGGCTCTGGCCAGTGAGAACAAGCACGCGTGTCGTTGGGTAGAGCTGGGTGCTGCAGAACCTGGAGTCTGGGGGGCACTGTGGGCAGAGGGTCCCCTGGCCCTCAGTCTTAGCCTTAGGCACAGTCTCCACTCTCGCTCTGGACAGTAGAGCTACAGCAGAGGGTCTGGGCAGGCAGCTTTCAGCTTAGGAGCTGACCTTTTTACCAGGTTCCTCCTTCAGTCCTTTAGTTGTGGGTTTCAGGACCATCAAAGGACTTGTCACCACAGAAACCTTGTCCCCAACCTAGGGAGGCTAGGCGGGAAATGCAGGCTTCCCTTTCCTGGCCCTGGTCTGAGCGGAATTGTTTCAGGGGAATGAAACCAGGGCTCCCCAGCAGTGCAGGGGCTGTGAACAGGGGCTCAAGCGCCAGTGCCTCCCTAAACTGCAGGCAGGGGGCGAGCTGAGCACCAAGCAAAGACCCGAGGCCTCGTGTAGGGAAAGGATGCCTGCCTGGCTTGGTTTCCTCCCCACCTTCGTTCATTTGTCTCCCCGCCCCATCTAGGTTGACTCTATTTCTGTTGCACACCTGCTTCCTTGAGTTTGCATATGTCTGCCAGGTCTGTGGGTGGGGAACAGCCCATGTCTTTCCCTCCTGCAGTCCTTTTTACCCTCTCTGTCCCCCGTAATCCAGGCCAGCTGGGGCCCAGGGACACCTCACGGGTCTGCACACCTCTGCTATGAGCCTGAGAGGTTGCCCAGGGCCAGGGGACCAGGGAGAGAGAAACCCTCACCATGCTGGGGGTTCTCCTGATTTCTGATTCAAGTTCCTATGAGTCTGTCCTGTGAGTGTTCCAGCAGGTGCTCAGGACACCCTAAGGGGAGACCCAGGGAGGGTACCAGGCAAGGCACCCAAAGCTCACTGGTCAAGCTGATACCTGTCCACGCCCCCATTCTGGCACCCTGGGACCATGACAGGTGGGTCCAGCAGCAGGGACTCTGCCTTGGTTAGTGGGCATCTGTGCCAGCCTGCGCTGCCCTCCCAGGAGTGGCAATTGTGAGGGAAGAGAGGTGTCATTCCAAACACTCCACTTCCTGCTTCCATTTAGAAAAGACCCAAACTCGTCACATTATGCAGAACAAGCTCGGGGTCTCTGTCCATCAGTCAGGTGTGCAAGGCTCCAGCTTCCACGTGCCAAGGCAGTCAAGACAGATTGTACTTTTTTGGAAAGATCTTCTGGTAACATCAGATGGGGGCTTTGCATACGTAAGAACCTTCTGCACAATTTGTAGGTGCCAAGCAATGGAGCTCAGGTTGTATGATTTTGATGTGGGCCCATGTCTCGCCCACCGCTCACTTCCCGCTCATCCTTTCCCATCCTGGGCCCTTTTCCCCAAATGGATCTGTTCCTGTCTTCCCAGCGAAGACAATCCTTACATCCACCTGCATCCGCATTCTGTTCGGATTGCTGCCCATCTGTTTGACAAGCTGTGATTTGGCCAGGGTGGATGGCACGCCATGTGGACGTTTTTGGACTGAGCATTCCACCTTGGAATGTCTGGAAGCTTCGTCCCCGTGTTTGACTCCCTCAGATCTGCAAATGTGTGGGGGCTCCTGGTGGGTACTCGCTCCATGGCAAGTTGTGGGGACAGAGCTGAATGAGGCCTGCCATCTCTCCACAGTTTCTCCATCTCCTGCACAGTACTCCCCGAAACTGTGGTAGACTCCTTGGCCGAGGCTGGGGTGTCTTCCAGTGGGCATGTGGCCTCCCGTGGGCCTGCCAGTGCCTGCAGGGCTCTGTGCTTCAGGCTCTGGCTTGCCCCAGCCCCTTAGGCAGTGAGCTGGTGGTGTCCTCTGAGCCCTGACCGCGGTTGTTTCCAAGCCCAGAGGCCACACCATGGCTGGAAATGATCCCCAGCCCAGGGACTAGGTCCCTCCGGGTGTTATTGACCTTCTTTCCATTCCCCCACTCAGCCCGGGGGTTGAAATCATCTCCCTGCTCTTGGACCGGAGCAGGGGTGGCTTTCCCTGGGGAAAGCTCGGCTCCTTTGCCTGCCTGTCCTGACAGCTCGCAACCCTGGCCCTGCTGGCATTCTCTCAGCCTTTCCTTCTTGCCTCTGCCCTCCCCTCTCGGTGCCCCTGCCCACCCTGGGTCAGAGGGCACAGTGATTCGCCAGCTGTGACCTCAGCTGGCTGCGGCTGTGTCCTGCACAGGGACTCTGATGGGGAGCACCCCGGGGGCGCCTGATGGGCCTCCTTTCCTCGCTCCCCTCTCGCTGTCATTGAGCTGGAGGGAGAGCAGCTCGGCAGCCATCACCAGAACGGCCTTCTTCTTCCTGAGCATCTTGGTAGAAGTGGCCGTGAGTGGCAGGGACAGGTGGTCCAGAGTCGCTTCTCTTCCTCGTCTCCGACTGACGTTGCTGAGCGAGGAACATACTCTACCCCAGAGAGGCCGAACCTTTGGGGCCAGGTGTCCAGACTGCAACCCCAAACCCACTTATATTGCAAAGCGCCAGCACAGCCCGTCCGTGTGCTGTTACCCGACGCTCGGCCTCAGGGCTGGTGCTGGGTGGCTTGCGTGCCATGCCGACGCAGAGGGCTGGAGGTTCTCCACATGCGTCCAGCCCCTCTCCACATCTCTGGGGAGCGCCTGGGCCCTGGGACTGTGGGGAGTGTGGACGGGTGTGGCCGAGGGCCTCGAGAGTGTGTAGCTTTGGCGCCCATTGACTTGAATGTGCACCCCCTGGAAATGAGAGAAAGGAAGCCCAGGGCCTGGACCCCACATTATGGGTGATTCCAGTTACCAGGAGTGATTTCTAATCATGCCTCCAGATAGTTGTGGGAAGGGCCTGGCGAGCATTTCATCCGCCAGGAATGATTAGAATACACTGCTGACAGGGGACTCAGTTGGAGCAGTCCTGCCTAGGTGGACAGATGGCCTCTTCTGGTTCCTCCAGCAGCTCTGAGCAGCAGGGGGAGCCCCTGGGTGTGCAGGGCCGTGGTGCAGCATGGACCAGGTGTAGGGGTCTGACCACCGTGCGGGTCTCTCCAGCTTTCTCGGGTGGGAGGAACATGCACTCAAGTGCCTTCGTGGGTGGGATACGTGCATCCCCTCACCCTGAGTGTGCCGGGCACTGATCATCCATCCCAGGCCTGGGGCCACCTTGGGACTAAATATAAATAAAGACTGGAAGAGGCAGGGTCCCCACCGTGGCCTTCCTGAGGTCTGAGAATTGTCTGGGGCTTGGAAAATACTTTGGCTTTGTTGGCTTTGAACTTGCCCAGGAACCTCTGGAATTCGTGGGGCATAGTCAGCTTCCCAGTGGAACTTCTGCATCACCACTTCAGGGCCCAGTAACGTCTCTGATCTCCCCAGTAGGGAAGGGTGGGGGCCCCTAGGGGAATGAAAGGGCTTCTGTTCGTTAGGCTCTGGTTTAAAGGCTTAGGACCGCTTGATTCTCCCCTGTGGAAAGCTCTCTGGCACTTCTCTCTCTGGCTTCCCTCCCTGGCCCAACCTCTTACGATAGGAGTAGGAAGGGACAGGGGTTTTTTTTTTTTTTCTGACCCTCTGGAGATTTGAGACAGGGTGAGATGTGACTACTCCTTGGGAGTTAGAGTTGCCTGTTTATGTTAGAAGTTCCTGACTACTTACTGCTTCGTTAGCATTCATGCTGGAAAGTAGACTCTGGCCAGATCACAGGAGTCAGAGCGCAGGGCGGAGAGGTAGCTCTGCCTCTCTCTGATGTACCCCATCATTCTTCACCATTCTCAGCTCCAGCAAATACTGAACCGGAGAGTAGGGGTAGAGCAGTCCTTTGTCAGTGTCCGTGTCCCTTCTAGAGAAGGAAGGCAGTCCTGTGAAGAGGTGGTCGCATGTACACACTCAGCCCCCAGCCCAGGACAGCTAGCATCAGAGTGGCTGTGGGTGGCAGGTGGTACTGTGAGAGAAGAACCCGGGTCTGAACTGCCCTGCAGTTGGGGTGATGGTTGAGACAGAATAGACGGCCAGCACGTGGTCAGCTCACAGCGGGGGTCACCGAGCACCAGCCACACATGGCGTCGCCAGTGCTCCTCTCCCAGGTTGCAATGCAGACAGAAGGGACTGGGGTGCCTGACCTCAGATTTCCCAGAGAGAAAGGCAGTTAGCAGAGGTCAGGGAGGAACGGGGCAGCTGTAGGACGGGAGAGCTTGGGGACTGTTCTCTGTGCCGCTGGCCTGGGCGACTGGCAGAAGAAAGCAGGCAAAAGTGAGGTTGGGTGAAGGTTGGAAGGCTGGGTCCTCTCAGGCCAGGGCTCCAGGGCTGGGCCCAGCAGGTGCTGTGGGGTGTGTCCGGTGGCATGGCTGGGACTCCGCGCCGTCCCTGGGGGCTGAGTGATCCCGAGTGCGCCACCCGCGTCCTGGCTGCGTGCATGTGGGGGCTTTGAACCGCACGGACCATGGGAAGAAAATGAGCTGCATGGCCGGCTGCGTTCTCTTCTCTCCCACGGTGGTGTCCGCGCTGGCGGTGTCCCTCTCCGCCGGTCTGTTCGTGATGCTTGGGGAGGCTTCTGTTCCCAGTGCCCTCTCCTCCTGGCTGCCTGCCTTGCACGCGGGGCCGAGTGTGCAGGCCGGGCACAGCAAACCGAGTGGACTCGGCTGTTTTACGTCTCCCTCGCAGCTCCTCCCACATTGCCCCCGACTACCGAGGGCGAGGGTGCCGGAGGCGCTGTGAGCAGTACTGATGCTGCCGCCGCCACCGAAGCCACCGCAGTCCCCATCATCCCAACTGTCGCCACCGCCACCGCCGCCGCCGCCACAACTGCTACAACCGCCGCCTCCGCCACGGAGAGTCCTCCCCGCAGCACGACCAGGCGTAAGGCACAGGAATCCGGTACTCCGAACGAACTGCTTGCTCCCATCCCGTGGGCAACACCTCCCGGTTCTCCTGGGAGAGGAGCCCCAGGATCCCCAGCTGGGAGGTGGGGTCCGCGGGCTGTTTTCCGGCACCTTGTTCTGTGTTACTCGCAAACTCTGTCCATAGCCAGAGGCCCAGGGTTCTGCCATTCAGCACCCCACACCCAGCCTCCGATCCCTACGCTCAAACACAGGGTGCTCCAGCAGGACCCCCGGGCCCCAGATGGTAGGGCTGCCTCCAGTACGTGTCACCATCAGCGCAGGGCTGAGCACTCCCCAAGGGAAGAGTGAGGGGAAGGAAATGCACTGAAGTCGGCCTGAGAGAGCTCTGGGCTCCAGCCGGGCCCATTCCCGGCCTCAGGATAAGCAGCCCTGTTCCTGGAAGCCCCTTTCTTGTCCCTCTTCCCCAAGGAATTCTTACACTTTCCTTTTAAAAAGTCAGGATGGGCATGGTGCTGCATGTCTATGATCCCAGCTACCTGGGAGACAAGACAAGAGGATCACAGATTCAGGGCAACTGAGTGAGAGCTTCTCAAAATTAAAAATGTTTACAGGGCTAGGGATGTAGCGCAGTGGTAGAGTGGTTGCCTAGCAGGCGTAAGGCCCGGGGTTCCATCTCTAGCATTGCAAAAATAAAGAGAAAGACAAAGTCCGAGCTTCCAGGAGATGGTGTGGAAATGTTGCCGCCAGGTCCCACAGAGCCCAGAGGTGCTCCCTCTCTTCCCTTCCCACCCATGTACTCTGTGCCCCCACATGCACTCATGCAGAGAAAGCTGCAGCCCCTCTGGCAACCCCTGGCCTGTGAAGCTAGGAGTACGTGCCTTTCCTGCATCACGCAGCCAGGCCGGGAAGTCCTGCTCTTCCCTGTGAAGAGATCTGGGGACTGCAGCCATACTTCTGAGCGCGCTACATAGAACGTCCTTACTGCCACAGAGGGGAGGTCTCTGGCTTCTGAGGTCCGGGCCAGTTGTGAGGGCAGCACCCTCTCGGCAGGCCCAGAGGTAGACCCTACCCTGCACGCACCTGGCTTCCTGGCCAGGCCCTTCCACCTTCCCTGACCGGGTGGAGGCTTCACACCCTGGGAGTGTCTGATGTCACCCCATTGAGTGGCTGGTAAGAGGAGGGGTGATCCACTCTTGGACACACCAATTTGCTTTAGAGCTGCAGTGTCTAGGATTTAAACCTCGTGCACTTAGGGAGGAGCTTGCTGAGGAGGAGCTTTCTGCAGTGTTGGAGGCTGGTGCCAGCAGTGCCTTGGTGACTGCTGTTCTCCGGGACCACAGTGAAGCAGGACTTTGTGTCCTAAGAGAGCTTTGAGTTCACAGAAAAGCTCCAAGAATGGAGAAATGGAACCTTTTCCCCGGGAAGCACTGACTCGTTTCTGGAAAGATGGGCCTTGTTGCCACTGGGGCTGGCGTATGACCCACACTCCAAGTTTCCACCACTTCAGAAACACTGCAGAGGGCCTGGCTGTCATCCTTATCTTACTGAGAACCTGGGGACAGTCCCCCGGTATCCCCACTTCCCTTGACATGGCAGCATAACGCTGTCACCCAGGACTTCTTAAATTAATTTTCGTCTTCACCATGTCTTACCTCTTAGGACAAAATGTTTCATAATTTATCTTTCAGAGGATGACGTGGGCTTTCTTATTTGCCCTCAAAGTGTCTTTTTTAGATTCAGGGATATTCCCCACCTTTTACATGCCTGGAGTCAGTGGAACAACGTGTGCTTCCCCTCATCTGCCCTTTTTGTTTTTATCGTTACTGATCACTCATTTTGTTGTCCTTCTCCTTGAACTTGCCAGTTCTTTGATGGCCATCGCCTTGATCCTTCTGTATGGTGATGCTTTCCTCTAATCCCACCTCTAAATCATTTTGGTTTCCCATTGTCTGTCCTTTTCTGAAGCACTTCCCTTTAAGACAGCCAGATTTGGGTCAGTATTACCTTGGGAGTCAAACTGCTTAAAAATAAATTCTCTAGTTTATATGGTCCAGAGCTAAGGAGGAAGAAACTCAGATCCCCAAATCATAGCTAATCATCATTCATTCTCATCAGCAAGCGCCCTGAAATTCCAGGCACTGGGTGAGATTTAAACAACCAGCCCAGTGGAAACATCTAGCAGATGTTGCCTGGCTTCCGCCTCCCCTTGCAGAATGCCCTATGGTGCCATCACAAACCTCTCGCCTGGCCCTCACCTAACAGGCCTTGTGTTCACCTGGGGCAACCAGCGCCTAACAAGGCTGTAGTAGAAAAGACACTTCTTTGAAGTGAAAACAAGGAAATCTTTTGTCCCTGCCCTAGTCATGCAGACTCAGTCGCATGTCAAGTAGATAATGAATAAATGCATTGCCAATGTACTCTGTTCATTTATGTTTGACAAGTGAGTTGGTGACAATGCCCCCGTCACGCTAATAAAATATACAGGAGCCATACTTGTAAAGTCTTTGAAATACGAGGTCTCATGCTAGCCCTCCACTATTAAATCTTTACAGGAATATAGGGTGATCAGACTGCTGGGACTCTTGAAAAGAAGTGATCACATTTGAAGCTTAGCGCCATCCTCCCGTACACGGGCTATGGTTTCAGACAGTGCTTATAACAGGAAGTGTTCACATTGTCTTTATTTACTTGGGACCCTGAGGTTTTAGGTCCCCGCTCACTGTCGACAATCTGAGGTCATTGCTGTACACATCATCCAGGCTCTGTCTGGGCAAGAACAACCACAGAGTTGCCTGTCTGGATTCTCATTCTCCTCCAGTTTCAGGAGCCGGGAAGCATTTCCACCCATCTGGTCCTGTTCTTCCTCCACATCTCCTCACAATTCTGGTTTGATCTTCTTTTTTGGTGGTACTAAGGATCGAATCCAGGAGCCATCAAACCCATGTAGTAGACAAGTGCTCTACCACTGAGCTGTACCCCCGGCCCTGTTTGCTTGACTTCTAAAGACAGCCCTTCTCCTTCCTGTAGAATTTCCATGGCTAAGGGGAAGAAGAGGCCTGCACATCTCCCCCTCTGTCAGCAACCCACCCATGGGACCTTTCACTAACCCACTTCCTTGCACTGTTCAAATCTGCGATAAAGGATCTAAGAAGGAAATAAGCCCATGTTAAAGCCCCCAAGGGCACGGATCCAAACCCATTCTTGCGTCCCTGCCCTGGCCCATGCAGACATATGGACAGTTCCCAGCTCTCCTTCACATTCACATCCTCCTGACTGCTCTTGCACGTCCCTGGATGGCCACCTCTGGCCTGGCCACCAAGGCTGCAGCTTGGAGTTCTGTTGGACCCTGTGCACAGCCATTTCCGACTCTACCTTTTCCCAGCTGGCTGTGTGTGTGTGTGTGTGCGCGCGCACACGCTTGTGTGCGTGCTTGTGTGCATGTGTGCATGCCCTCCATGTCACCCATGCTGCCCCCTCCTTACTAACTCCTTTCTAACCCGTCCCTCTCAGCCCCCGATGAGCCCTTCATATGGAACGTCACGGTATTCCCCAACAGTAAATGGGCCAACATCACGTGGAAGCACAACTTCGGGCCCGGAACCGACTTTGTGGTTGAGTACATTGACAGTAAGCATTGCTTTGCGGGGTGGTGGTGGCGGGGAGCGGTAGAGGCCATTACAGGAATCCTGTGCACTCCCCCAGGCTCAGAGAGGCCTTCTAGCCTGGCTTAATTATAGCTTAATGAAATCAATATGCGGTCAGGCTGCAGAGGTGGGAGAAACAGGCTCAAGGAGAAGGAAGGGGCTTTGAAGCCATTAACGAAGCCATCAAGTTGCATGTGCTTGGAGGACCTGTGGAACAAGATGCTTTTGTCTGTTTCCTGCCCGGATGAGGGTTCTGAATGGCCCCCAAGTGAGCCAAAGGTCCCCTCGGTTTTATTTCCCAACTCCAGTTCCATGTGTCCTGATGTCTCCACTGGACAGGCTGGGCCAGTTCACAGGTGGGGCAGAGTGAGGGACAGCCAGGGCCATTTGTCCCAAAAAGCTGGTGGCTTGAGCTGAGCCATTCACACTGTACCAGATCTTGGGACCAAAGGTACACCCTGCTTACACTGCCGAGTGTGGTCAGGATATCGGTTTACGAACAAAGGTCCCTGGTCCTGTGAGGTGGAGCCCAGCCTCTGGACCTCTCTGGCATGTACTCTAAGCACTGAAGCCAAAATCCACCTGGGCTAGCCCACTTGAAGATCCCTGAGGAAATTCTAAGCCAGTGCTGAGTTCATGGCTAGAGGCGGGTTCGTGTCCACGGGATCTGGAATCCCTCATTTGGTTCAGAGTTTTCAGCTTCCCACAGCCTAGACACACAGGCATGCACTTTTCCTGATACGAGGATTTGCCATTGGGCCAGAAATGAGAGATAAAACCAGGAGTGAGAGCCAAGGAGCTGAGTCCTGTCTCATCTGCAGTCACCATGAGGGATGCTAACTGGCCCTCTGACCCTCAGCAGGAAGACCCCACATGGGGAGTGAATCACTTCCGGGGCAACTGAGCGTTGGCTGACTTACTGAGAGTTTGAGGAAGTAGGTCACGTATGCTTAGTGCTAAGACTGTGGTGAGGAAGAACTTTAGAAGAGGAAACAATGTCCTCAGCGGAAGGGACATCGTGTAAGAGCTTCCACTGCATGGGCCAGCATGGGGAACTGCCTAGTAACCTCCTGGTCTGTACGGCGGACTGGACCCATGGTCCCCGCACCCCTTTTCCCACCCTTTCTGCCTTTGACAGGAACCTAAGCACTGTCTCTTCAGCTCCTGGTGCCTGGCTTTAGGCTGACAGAGATTTCTGTTCCCCAGGCAACAATACAAAAAAAACTGTCCCTGTTAAGGCTCAGGCCCAGCCTATACAGCTGACAGACCTCTATCCCGGGATGACATACACGTTGCGGATTTATCCCCGGGACAACGAGGGCATCAGCAGTACCGTCATCACCTTTATGACCAGTACAGGTGAGAGGGGATCTGGCCTGGCCACCCCCTGCAAGCATGGGGCATCTCATCGTCATTCCAGCTTCCTGCTTGCCTCTTCTGGGAAAGGGAAAGGAGACTCATCACTCCATTCCCACCTTGCATGGTGTGTCTGAGACCCCCGGCAGGCCAGAGGAGCCAGGTGTGCATGCAGTGGAGAGCCAGCCAATCCCAAGCCGGTGGGCTGAGCAGGGGTCAGAGGAAAACAAAGGATGCTATCATGAGGACAGGGAAGCCTCGGCCCCCTGCTATGCCTGAAACAAAAGGACTGGTGTCAGTGCAAACTTGCTCTCTGTGTGTGGGGGCAGAGTTGTGCGGCGAGCCGCCCCGCCCCCCCGTGTTCAGGGTCTTGCTTCTGCATGTGGGCCTGCGGATAGGGCCATCCTGGGGTCTTGATCCAAGAACCGAACAAGGGGTCAGCACACTGGTTACTGCCTTGTCACCATCATCTGATTCAAAAAAAAATCCAGTGAAAGGCACAACTCATTTAAGGCTTTATTTTGATTTGAATTTTGTCCCAAAAATCAAGTTTGTCTTGCCTAAAGGCTGATATTTTGTTGTGGTTGGAGATGGGAAGAAGTTCTGGCTTTATAGAGACTTTTGTTGTGGGTGGAGAAGCAGCTTCGTTGGGTCAAATGAACAGGCTGTCTGGGGCTCGGGAGAGGAGACAAGGTTTAGAAATCTCTCTGCTGCTGCGGAGTCTGGACGCTATATGGCCTCTTGCTTATCTCTGTGGGTATAGCTTTAAAATTGGCCAAAGGGACAGCCGAGTGGGTTGTATGCTAAGGCCTGGGGCTAAGGGTGAGGGGAGAGAAAAGAGATTAAGAGAGAAATGGATTGGTCCCTGCCCTAGGGACGTCCTAATCAGATGCAGGTTATTAGACACATGGGCTAGAAAGGGGGAAAACCACAGTGATTTATATGAATTTCTGAACGTTGGCTTGCATATTCATTACTCCTCCCGAGCCTGGCCTGCCAAAGCTGATCCTGGCATCCTGGGAGTTTCCCCATCTGTACCACTTCTCACCCCATCCCTGCGAGCCTGGTCCCTCCTGACTGTCCTCCCTGCACTCCCGCCCCTCCTGCATATCTCCATGCCATCAAGGCTCAGGGAGTCTGACTCCCTGCTTGAGCCCAGCCAGGCTGAGCCCAGCCAGGCTGATCCCAGCAGAGCATCTGAGTGAGCAGCCAGGCTGTCTTGCTACAGGGGGAGCCAGGCGGTAGGACAGCTGATCCAGCAGAGCAGGTGGCTGGACTCTGACCCAGTTGGGGTCCTAAGCTCTTGCTCACCAGTGTATGCATTTGGTTTTGCTTTGTTATAAACCTGAGAGCAGCACAGAGGCAGGAATCAAAGATGATAGAGGTGGGTGTAGGGGTCCATCTCGGGAATTCTGGAAGGCCAGTTCAGCCTCCTGTCAGAGTTCTGCCTCTCCAGGTGCTCACCCCTACAGCTGCAGGGAAAGGTTAGGGAGAGAGAGCCAGAGAGAAAGGGCTATCTCTGCCCTCGAGGATGTGCTAATCTGCTCGTGGGCATTAAGCAGGCAATACCAAGAAAATGACAATGACTGAGCTATGCCTCTCAGTTTGGGTTTCAGTACTCATTTCACTTTTGCTGGGCTGGTCTGCAGAGGGCCATCCTGATCACCTGCCTTTGGAGAAACTGAGGTACACAGCACAGAGAAGTCCTCCCAGACTCCTCCCCAGGCGAGCAGGAGAAGGCAGGCTGATGTTGCTAGCTCTGAGTTCATATCATCACTTCCCTCCCAGGCTGGCTGGAAATTACTACGCACAAACCACACAGGAAAAGAAAAATACTTGCACTTTCTGCAGTCTGTGTGTGCCGGTGAACGAGTGTCCAAATCCTTCAAAACCTCTCACTCTGTTTCCTGGGGGTGGACTGCAGAGCCAAGTCCGCACAATCCCACAGATCTGTTTCATCAGAGCCTCTCTGGGCCCAGCCACTGGTCATTGAGGCAACCACAGGCCTTCAGTTCAGCCTGCAAACGCAGCCGGCCGCTGCAGCGGTTCAGACATGGAAGGAAACCACTGGGGATGCTAACAGGTTCCCCAGCCCTCATAAGAAAGACCCCACTGGGAAGTTAATCGCCTTTTGGCGAAGCTTTTGGAGCCAGTGAGACCGGAAAGGCTACAGATGCATAACCTGGCTGTGAGGCCCACCTGCTCTTCCCATGGGCGGGTAGGCTGGGCTCAGGCAACACCCTGGGGGATGCTGGTGGTGGACCAGTGATCGGGCAGTGTTCTGCTCAGACCTCAGGAGGGCAGGAGGGACTGCAGGACGGGGCAAGATAGGGGGGTGGATTTGCAGTGATGCTTAAGCGAGAGCAGGCAAGGCAATGTATGTGAAGATAAGCATTTCTCTTATGTTTGATACTCCATCCCTATTTCTAGAATGTAGTTCTGCTGACTTTGAGTGGCCGGCCTGTCTTCTGTGGGCAAGCCAGATTCCTCCCGGCTCCACACAGGAGTCAGTGGGGCTGTGTGCTCGACAGGGGGACTGCCCAATTGTAGGGTGTGGTGAGGAGGCTTGCATGCTACAGCTCCTGGTTCAGTGCAAGAGGCACTCAGACCTGAGCAGGCCAGGTTGGGGTCCAGTGACCCCATCTGGAGATGGTGAGGGGAAGTGAGTGCACCTGATAGTATGGGGTCCACTAGGAATCTGGAAACCAGTTTAGCAGATCGGTTGAGTGCAACATTGGCAGTCGATGCACTTGCCTTGGAGCCTCGCTAAAATGCCTTTCTCCCAGAGTCCTGGCTGCAGGGTCACATTATAAGTGAGACTATTATCTCCTAAATTTCTTTTGCTTCGTGAGAAACAAAGTTGCTTTGATGAGATGGGCTGAGCCCACCATTGTCCAGACCCCCTTTGCTCTTGAAGAGCCTTCTATGTCTAAACTTCACAGGCAACCCTTTGACGTTTTCAGTAGGGACGGAAGAAGGTGCATTGGAACTTTACCTGGTACTGTCAGAGTGGAAAATGACTTTTGCCTTATAAATTTCCCATGTAGCCATTTTCCCAGGGAATCCATGACTGTCTTTGGGAAAAGAAAGGGAATGCTGTGGGGAATGTCAGAAGCACCAGGAGATGGTGGTGCAGACACCTCTGCGAAGCTTAGGCACCACTGTCCAAACACAAAGGAAGTAATTCCCCCACCCAGTGCCCCAGTGTAGTACCAGACAAGCCAGAATCCAATCCCTGTGACCACGAGCCAGTATTGGGGAAAACTCGCCGCAGTTGGATCCCACCATAACCACATTACACCAGGATTAAATTGATCCCAACTACTTGCTGTGTGACCAGAACCATACCAAGTTCTAGGAGCCTCGAAAATATCCCTTGTTCTCAAGAGTAGTAGGTTCTCTGGAAACCAGGGCCCGGGAGAGAGAACAACTCGGTGTTACATTTGTGTGGAATATTCAGGAGTGAAGTCAGAGCCCAGAGATGGTGTGAGCTGGGGCGGTGGAAACTTAGCGAGCGAGCAGGGGAGAATAGGGGACAGTGGTGAGTGGGAAGGGGAACAGTCCAGGCGGCTCAGGTAGGGTGGGAAAAGTGCCTGGCTTGAAGCCCTGAAGTCCACGCTGAGTAGCCAAGCCCAGTGTGGCAGGAAAGAGAATAGCAGCAGGATGCTTGGAATGGCGTAAGGCATCTCACTGTGGCCACACGCACCAGGAGGCGTGAGATGAGAGGACCCCTCTAGAACGCAGCACTGAGGTGAGACGTTTTGGAGGGAGCAACAGCAGACCTTAAAAACAGGGAGCGTGTTGAGGCCACTGGCAGAGCCACGGGGCTGGGGACCACAGACGGAAACAGGAAGGTGCACATGCCAAATTCAAGCAGAGAGCTAGCAGGAGGCAGTGCTGGGCCCACAGCTGTGGACAATAGAGGTGAACAAAAAGGTTCCCAACTGGGAAGTCAGGGCAGGGGTACTGTGACCGACCGACTGACCGAATCAGGGTGCGGAGGCGGGTTCGGGAGGGGTCTGCAGGCAGTCATAGCAGAACCACTGAGTGTGGAGAAGCTTGAAGTCAGTTTGCTGGGGCATAGAGGGACCTGGAGCCCAGGGAGGTAAAGGCATCGGCCTGGACTGGGCAGAGCATGAGCTCAGCTCAGAGGTGTGGGCCGTTCCATGAGGATTTTCGTCTAAAGCGAACCACAAGAAATCTCCATGTGTTCAAGAGCAGCAGGGAAAGACACAGTGGAGGAAAAAATGCGCCGTGCTGGGGAGTCCAGAGGTCCTCACGTGAGTGAGAGGCCCAGGAAGGCAGCTGTTGGGCCCTGCTTCCATGGAAAGGAGAGGCGAGAGCAGAGCCCTCCTTCCAACACAGGCGGGGCAGCTGCAGGGGTGAGAGTGGCCAGGGTCTCCAGAGCAGCTGGGACAGCTGAGCCCAAGAGGCGGAGAGGCAGGAATCCGAGTAGCGTGGAGCTTGGCGTGCTGGCTGGGCAGCTGCACGGCTGGCTAGAGGGACGGAGGCGGATGGCTGGGTGGCACAAAGTACAGGTGAGAGATGAGGCGTACCCGCCTGGGTCTGCATCCCTCCAGAAGCACCTACCACGCGTCGGGCGCCAAGCTGAGGCCAGGATGGCAGGGCGGGTTTCTGCAGCAAAAAGGAAGGCAGGCCGAGAGACCGTGGGGCGGAAGTGAAGGGATCCCCTCCTGCTGTGGGTGTGCAGGCTCTGCCCCAGGCCTGCACAAGGGAGCTCACCTGCTGGGTGGCGCTGGTGTCCAGGTGCTGAAGAGCCCCACAGCCTGCAGCCACATCCCTGCTCTGCCACCTACTTGCTCTGTGACCTTGAGAAAGTCACCCTCTCTGTGCCTGTTTCCTCATCCCCTAAACTATGGGTAAAAATAGACACCTGCCTTACGGGGCTGTGGTGAGGATTGAAGTAGGTAATGTGTGGGAAAGTACCCACAGCAGTGCCCGGCCTGTGGAAATGCTGGTTAGTATAAACTGGTAGTTGTACTATTCTATCGAATGGTTGTAAGTGCTGTGAGAAAGATGAATTAGACCTCTCGGATCAAGAGTGGCTGGGAAGGTCCAGGAAACCCTTGCTTAAACTGGGAAGGTCCAGGAAACCCTTTCTGGGGGCCTTCCAAGACAGCAAATGCAAAGAAATGCAGAAGCAAGAGCAGCAGGTGCAAAGGCCCCGAGGCAGGAATGAAAGTGGCCAGTGTGGCTGGATCATGGAGAAGGGTAAGCAGAAGTGGGACAGAAAACTAGGGAGGTGGCCAGGGCCAGGTCTCACAGAGCCTGGCACTTCAGAATGAGGAGAGTCCAGTTTTCTTCAGCAGCCATGAGAAGCTCTGGGGGGTGGAAGCAAGAAATGAGCTGGTCCTGCAGGCTGTGTGGGGAGCAGCTTGCCAGGCAGGAGCCGGGATGGGCTTCCCTCCACAGTTTAGGGAGCGAGGTCAAGGTAACCACTGGCTGTGTTCTTATGGACCCAGCTGCTCTGCTGCCTGGGGCGGGGGCTGGCCAGGAACAGCTGGAACAGCGCGGTGTGGATCTTCACCATGTCCGCCCAGAGAAGGATGGAGGATGGGGGTGACCCCGCTCCCTGCCCACAAAATGGCATGGGATGAGAACCCCGCTGTCCCCACCCTGTCCCCGTGGCCGCTCAGGGCGGGCTGGCGCCAGGGCTGCTTTGCCTATGCTGTATCGCTCGGGTCCTCCTCTCCTCGGCCTGGTGTCTGTGGCAGCCCGAATGCGGGCCCTGGGCCGTCGGGGACACCGTGCAGAGGCCCTGGGCTCCTGTTCCTCGCCCCGTGTGTGCACGGGTCTCCAGGCCCAACGGGACCCGTCCTGACCTCCCCTTCGGCGCTGGGAGGGGCGTGCCCGTCACTGAGCACCAGCGCCGCTTCCTGTGCAGGGGATCCTGACAGGGCGCCCGTGGCCGCATCGTCTTCGCTGACAGAGAGCGCACAGTTCAGCTGCCAAGGTGTGAGAAAGCACAGGCCGCCCGGGGCCTCCCAGGGCCCAGGGCCCAGGACCCACTGCCAAAGCCTGGGCCGCTCTGGGGCCACGCTGGTGGGCGGTGTCGCCACTGTACGCCTGCGCGGGCCTGCGGGGCATCGGGGCGCGGCTCCCGGGTGGGTCCTGTGCAGGGGAGCCCGGCCCTACCTCAGCTGTGCCCAGCGCTCTGGTTTGCAAGGTTGCTGTGCGTCAATCTTAGGAAACTTCCGCCTACACAACCTTTCTGGCCTCCTGCTGCTTCTCTGCTTCCTGCACTCCTTTTCTTTGCCTGTTTTCTGACCTTTTGGCCTTGGCTCTTTAATCGTTTTCTTTTGGTCGCTTTAGTGGGGTCATTTGGGCCAGAGGGTTGTTAGGTGGTAGTGTTAGGCTCCAGGAGAAGATCCAGGCAAAATAGCTGTGCTCCTCCCTGCTCCTCCTCACCTTCCGCGTGCCACCACTCACGGGTTTGCATCCCACCCTCCCCACCAGCGTACACCAATAACCAGGCGGACATCGCCACCCAGGGCTGGTTCATCGGGCTCATGTGCGCCATTGCCCTCCTGGTGCTGATCCTGCTCATCGTCTGCTTCATCAAGAGGAGTCGAGGCGGCAAGTACCCAGGTGAGCCGCATGGGTGGCATGGGCAGGTGATCCCGCCCGAGAATCACCAGGTGCCCAGCCAGAGCCAGGGGCTTGGAACCGTGGTCCTCTTGCCTGCTCTGTGCGTCTTGGAACTGCCAGAGAGCACTTGAGTTAATTAAGTTGGCCCGGTGTGGGCACATGGCTTGGTCCAGGCAGCTCCAGAGAGGGAATGGAAGGAACCTTGGCTCCTAATGAGAATGACCTTCTCTGCCCTTGACTCACCACCCATCTGCTTGGTAAATTGGCTTCTTTTTTAGCCCAAATCTCATTAGGATCCTGTGTCCCAGGGAAGGAGGAAGGAAGAGACGCATTTTCTCTGACCACGTCAGAGAGGATGGCGAACAGAGGGGTCTGGACAGAACATCACACCCATGAGAGCAGCTGCATGGAGGGGCCACCGCACTTGCTCCTCACAGCCCTTAAAGGGCTGTGGGCTTCCCTAAATTTCTGCCGAAACATCTGTCTTCTGATCTCTCCAAGATCCTGCAGCCCAGACAAACCAAGGTCAAAGACAAGGACCTCTGGCATTCTTGTTTCTGAAAATATTGATTGTTTTCCAAATGGGCAAGAGAGCCATCTGTCCGTGATGGGATGGGGAGGGTGATGGGAGACAGGGTAATGGATGACCCTGGGAGCAACGCTTGCTGGCCTGCAGAGTGACTGCTCCCTGCGCCAGAGCCCGTCACCAGGCACCCTGCACGATCCCCAGATGCTTCCTTCTCCCCGCCTCCAGAACAGGCCCAACCTCAACACAAAGGAAACGGAAGGGAGAGGGGATCCTTTCTTCCTTCCTTCCCCCTGCCAAGCACACACAGACCCTGGGATCTTGAAGGGATGCTTCTACCTAAGAGAGCAAAGGTTGGAAACCATCTGCAGTTCCTTGCTGCTGCTGTTTTCTTTCACCTTTGTTTTTCTGCTTTGGGTCTGTTTTTTCAGGAGCCGAGGGCCCTGGACTCTGGGCTTCACTCTAGTCTACCAATTAGTGATGTGACTGTTCTTCACCTCTTTTCCCTTGATTAAAGTAGGGGTGATTATCCAACCTTGTTCTTCAAAAAAGACCACATACAGAGTCCCCAACATAAGCACCTGCTGTATGCCAGGTGCCGGGGACACCAGAGGAACAATGTCTCTCCTCAGCGTTGCAGCTGGCTCAGAGGCACAGCATGGCACACCCATAGCTGGTGTGCACACCCAGGCAGGTTCAGGAAGAGAGCAGCCAGCGAGGGAGGACTGATAGGAGAACACTCCAGCCTTTAGGTATAAGAGCATCCTCCCTGAATGGGGCAGTCTGCCCGGAGCTGTGAAGAAACAGCCCCTACTCTTGAGGACAGATCCAGCATTCTGTTCCGGGCATAAGAAATATGCACAGATCATTACTGTACCAACCAGAATAACAGGGGTGAATAGTAGAGTATTTGCCTTCGGCAGGGGAAAGGATGCAATCCATTTGTCCCCGTGGGAAGACTTTCTGGGAGGAAGTGACGGCGAGCTGGGTAGGCGGAGAGTCGGGTTGTCAGTAGGGAGAAGCCTCCCAGCAGTGAGGAGGAAGTGACAGAACCAACTGGCAACTGATTGAGCTCAGGAAGCAGGAACCAGGTGGGCACGATGGTGGCTTGTTCAAAGGGAGAGCGCCACTGGCCCAGGGCAGTGTCTTCCGGCGCTGCACTCAGCAGAGCCCCTGGGAGAGCAGCCTGCTTCTTAATCACCATGTCTGTGTCTGCCTCTCTTGCTGACCAAGTTCGAGAAAAGAAGGATGTTCCCCTGGGCCCGGAAGACCCCAAGGAAGAGAACGGCTCCTTTGACTATAGGTATGTGACCTCCCATGTGTGGCTGTCCACACTGCTCTGGGCCCCTCACCTCAGAGCAGCTCAGCCTGGCCACAAGGCCCCTGCATCCATGTCCTTGCCCCCAGGATATCGCCTCTGCCTCTCTCTCTGAGCAGGGGGCGTGTCCTAAGAGGCTGTGTGTCCTGATCAGTCGTGCCAGGTGAGCTGCTCCCCAACACACACCCCATTGTCACGTGCACAGCACAAATGTCCTGAGCTCCTCCTATGTGTACCTTTCCACCTTTTCACTGCAAAGTGAGCTCTGCTCCAGACTTCTTCTCTGCCTGCACCTTAGCTCCAGTCTCCAAGACAGTGACCCAGAGAGGCCGTTATCCAAAACCTCGAGGAGTGAAAGGAAACATCGGCCCTAGGTCCTTTCCTCGTGAACCTGGCAGTGTCTCTGGGCTCTCAGCTCGAACAGGCTTTGGAGAAGCCCCATGTCCTAGATGAGAGGGCTGGGGCCACACTGAGAAGCCATTTGCCCAAACCGCCATGCCCACCCTCAGGGACCTAGTGGCAGAACTGTAAAGGACAGGGGCTGACGGCCAGTTACAGCTGCTGTCCTCTGCCTGTGCCCCACTCCGATCTGGATGGCCCTTTTCGTCTTGAGTTAACACTGTCAACTGTGCATTGCATGGCAGGTGTATTCTCAGCTCAGGAATGACACAGGATGGCTCGTGGAGTCTCAAACCAGACCAAGTGGGGTGGGAGGAAATGTCTGGTCAGAGCCCTCCCACCCCAGTCCTACCCAGTTACTATCCAGGCCCAGGTCACCCCTGTCCTCTCTGACCTCTCCCTTTCCTTTCTGAGCTTCTGCCATCCTGCCTATCAGCAGCCTGGCACAAGGGGTCAGATCAGTGTTGGGGAGGGGGGAGCTACTGCCCACCCAGGAGCCCGCCTGGCAGCTTTTAGACCACAACCATCCAGCCAGTCCCAACATCCCCATGAGCCTCCCGAGAGGGCCACCCGAGAGGTCCCTCCCTCTTCCCTGGCTGTCCTCAGCAGGCTGAGAGCCATGCCCTGGCCTTCAGTTCCAAAGGCCACGGGCCTCTCTCTCCCCCAGACCCTAGTACAGCCAGAGAAGAGGGGTGAGGACAGGCCCAGCAGCCTGCACTGGGAGAAGCTGCCGCCTGGTGCACTGCCCTTCCCCGGACCACAACACTGTTCAACAAAAGCACCGTCCTGGCCCCACTGAGGCACACACAGGAGCATGCCCAGGCCGGCACCACACATGCACACATACACAGCATCTGTCCCGCGCCCCGTTTCATGCAGACAGGAGTCCTTAGCTGGGAAAGCCTAAATGAGTAAGGAGCAGCGAGAGCTAAGTTTCCTGGGAGTGAGGGGACCCGGCCCACCGTTACTCCGTTCCACGCGACAGCTTTCTCATGGGGCTGCACCGCTCTCTCCCGTGCCTCTCCTGCACCTGCACGGTTTCTGGGAGGCTGAGCTGACAGGTGACTAGACCAGGGCCCCCCTTTGTTCAAGCCTCCTCAGGCGAGGTCTCTTCCAGACCTAAGAGCCCGGCACACTAACAACCTTTCCCCTGCTGCTGAGTATCTCCGTCCTGTGGCTGCATTTAGCTGAGGTGCCTGGAACCAGACAAGAATTCCTGATTATATGCAAAGCACATAACACAGCCCTTGTGGCCTGCGGTGGGCAGAGGGCCCTCCAAAGGGTGCATGTAGGAAAAAGACTTGCAAGCAGGCTGAGGGGTCTGGCAATGAGAATCTGGTTCGCAGAGAGTTCCACTTGCGGCACAAACTCGAGCAACCTGGAGACCCACTGGCCTCTGCCACTTTCCCCCCAAACGCTGCCATCAGAGGAGGTGATTGGGCCACATTAATGGTCCGCACTCGCTCAGCGTGTGGGGGAGTGGGCTAATGGCTTTCCGTCTGCTAAGCTTACGCGGGGCCTCCCCTGCAGCTGTCTGCCCGACGCTGTTGATAGAAAATGCTGCCTGCAGTAATGGCAGCTTAGCTGGGTATTTTCACCACACCCAGGAGCCACTGAGACTGGGCTGGGAGCTGGGGAGGGCGTCCTGTGTGTGCTCAGACGGTATGGCATCGCTGTGGCCCGCCTGCCAGGCCTCGGTCCCCCACTGCTGGCCCACAGTGGCCTCCCGCCTGGGTGCCATCTCGCCTCTGAAGTGCAGCCAGCAGCACCTGGTCACCCCGGGAGCCTAAAGGGCAGAGAGTTTCCCAGCGGGGGAGGGATGCGGGGTCTCCAGTCTGGGCATCAGTGCCCCACCAGCTCTCCCTCCGAGGGGCTGGCAGGGTCCTCCAGGCCTGGCTGCCGTTTTCTCAAGTCACTGGCCTTTCGAGCTTCTCTGTATGCCTCTCCCTCGGGCCATCCCACCTCTTACTTGCTCAGTCCCAAGCACTAGCAGCTGTTTGCAGATAAGCTGCAGCTGGGAGGAGAGCAACGCTGAGACAGGGAAGTGGAGAACAGGGGAGAGACCTGTTCCCTGAAACCTTCACAGAGGCACAGGTCATGCAAGGCCCACCTTCTGAGGACGGGCTATGGCCACGAGGTGACACAGTCCCCATCCTGACTCTTGCCTCTCAGGAGTGGCCATCCTCTGCTGCTCCCCCCACACAGTGGCCCTGTCTCCTGGAAGGGACCCCAGAGCAGGAGTCCTGGGATGGGGGCCGCACCGCAGCGAGATAACTGTCCCCCGGGTCTCAGGTTTGCTTCTGTAGAGGTTGCTGCATAGTGGGTAAGAGCGAGATGGCCCCTAGGGCCCTCGTCCTCAGTGGGGTGCAGGCCCTGTGTGTGCTGAGAACCCAGCCAGGCAGGGCCCTGATTCTGTCTCTCTCTGACCAGCGACGAGGACAACAAGCCCCTGCAGGGCAGCCAGACGTCTCTGGACGGCACCATCAAGCAGCAGGAGAGTGACGACAGCCTGGTGGACTACGGCGAAGGCGGGGAGGGCCAGTTCAACGAGGACGGCTCCTTCATCGGCCAGTACACGGTGAAAAAGGACAAGGAGGAGACGGAGGGCAACGAGAGCTCAGAGGCCACATCACCCGTCAATGCCATCTACTCTCTGGCCTAACGGAGCCCACCAGGCACGGCCGCTACTCTGCAAGTGGGAGGAGGGGAGAGGGGAGCCGAAGCTACCGCAGACCGACAGCAAAGCCGCAGCCGCCTTCAGGGACAAGGGTGCCATATGGGGCCTGCCACGCTGTGAGGGCCAATGCCCACCCAGCCCCACAATGCCCTCCCCATGTGCCCCGCCCCGCTGTGTGCCGCTGGTGCAGCAGAGCTGGAGCCCTGGCAGCACTCACTGCAGGGAAGCCCGCCCCTGCCACGCCCACCACACTGCCCGCCTTCCCCGGGCACGCGCGCTCGCCGTTCTCTTGGTTACACTACTTTCCCCCGTCTCCATGTTTTTTCTTTGTGCATCTTTCCCTCCAGACCCAATGTCTCCATTCACTTTCTTTCTGTTTTTTAAGAAGTGTCCCTGGAAAAGAAAGAATAGGTGGCTCCTCCCCCAGGAAACCACAGTGACAGACACAGAGGAATGACCCGAAACAGGACAGAGAGAAAAGCCGTAGTATTCACACTGCCACCGGGCCCACGTGTTTCTGAAGGATGCCTTTCTCGCCATACGCCTGTCCTTGCTCCCAGTCCATCTGCCTCGGCCTGGCCGGCTGCTGAGCTGGGCTTGGCCTCTTTCTGGAAAGCGACAGTATTTGGGGCAGGGAGAGGAAGGGCAGGCCTCCTTGCCTCTCTCTGGTTCAGGTGGCCAGTTTGCCTCCTGCTCCTCACTCTTAACCTTCCCCTGCCCGTGGAGTGGCCAAGAACGAGCTGCACTGACTCTGAGGGCCACGGTCGGGGAACAGAGTAGTCCTGATGGCCAGGACCTCAGCTGCAGTGACTGGGCCGCAAGCAGAGAAAGTCAGGGCCTGGCCCCTCGGGAGCTTCACACCTCTGGAGAGAAGCCAGGGGCTGGCTTTGGACGACAGTGAAGCCCAGGCTGCAGGAGAGAGGACCACACCTGCTGTGTAGGAGCAGGGGCACCTGCCCCGCCCCCGGGTCTCCGCTGCTACCCTCAAGGAGAGAGCCCTGTGTGCAGAAGCCTTGCTGGTGTGTTTGGGGGTGTGAAGCACTGCTCCCCTTCCATCTCTAGCAGTTATCCCCCCTCTGTCAGTTCTCTGTGACACTGAGACTTGCGCTTGACTTGTGTGTAGACGGGGACTGCTGCCCTGTCTGTCCTTTTTTAGGGTATGTACCCATCGGAGGACCTGGAGGTGACACCGTACTAACAGCGCTGTGATGCCCCAGCCTGGGGAGGACTTGATGCTCTTCATATGCCTTATGCAGCTCTGATCTGTCCCTGGAGTTCCCAGGTCTTGGCCCATCCCTGCAAGCCTTGGAGCCTCTGGTGATGTCTGTCTCTGTCTCGGGATCGGGAACGGGATCGGGATCGGGATCGGGATCGGGATCAGGATCAGGCAGCCTATGCAAGTGTCCCTGCAAGACCGGAAGCAGCCATTCCACACTCACCCTCACCCTGTTCCCCAGATGGAGACACTTGCAGACCTGCAGTTCTCAGCCCGAAGGTGCTGCCTTCATCCTGCCCACCTAATCCATTTCTGAACCAAAGGTACCTTAGCCTCAGCAATGCGGAGAGGGGGGGGAGCTTGAGCCTGAGCATGCCCTGCAGCTGCTCCCGTGGCTGGAGTCAGGGTCGGGAGGGTTGGGTTGATCCCCAGGTGTGGATCACCTGCCACTGATTTGAGCCTCCAGCTACAGCTGGGGGCCTGGGCAGGACCAGGGCTGTGTCCTTCAGAGACTTTATTAAAGCCTCATTTGCCACATGTTTAAGCCGCAGAGGTATTAACAGTGCTTGTGTCACTTAATAATCATTGGGTTGAAGGTCAAGCCCATAGGCACAGCTCTGTCTGCAGGTAAGAAACCATAGCCCAAGGCTGAGCCAGTAATGTTGCTTGAACCTGAGGATGTATGATGGTCCCTCTGCCCAGGTTCTGCGCCCAGCTGTGCTGCCGGGAGCCGGAAAGGCAGCTCTCGTGATGAAAGGGAACAGGGTAAAGAGGAGAGAGCTGGGGAGTGAGCTCAGGGTCCCCTCCCCCAGCTCACCTGCAGGGACGCAGGTGTGCATTCCTGCAGCAGGGGCCCACTGTCCCTGAAGGTTGTGTCAGGGAAGTGTGCCTGTGAGCTGAATTAAAGGACCGGCCTTTCCAGAAAACACTGTGGACCTGAGCACAGTGGACAGTATCTCAGGCACCCATTCCGTACTGCATTGTCTGTGCTAGTGAGCCTGTGGCACCAAGAGCAAGCTCTCAGGGGAGGAAGGGACGTTAGTGTCACCACATCTATCCCCTGTCTCTGGAAAGTCTGCCACACAGAATAGTAACTAGAAAGGGCTCCGTCTTAAGGGTCTTGGGGAGAGATGAGTCCTTGGGTTATCTTTGCACCCCATTCCAGAGTCCTGCCATGAGCTGTACCAGCCTCTCGGGGTGTTGTTTTGTGTGTGCTGACAGCTGCACCCCTGCCTCCATCACGATCACAGTCCTCCAGGCAGGACCAAATCTGGGGCTGAAGAACCAAGATTTCCCGAAGCAAAGATGGCAGATTCTTAGATCTGATCCTGAGGTGTGAGTTTGCAGGACTGGGGAGGAGAGGAGGCACTTTCCGAGTCCGCCCCAGCTCAGCAGGACAGCAGTATTGCCCAGCACTCTGTGCCAGCTGAGTCTCAAGCAAACACCCCAAAATGTTCCCAATAACAATGCCAGGAGTGCCCAGTGCCGTTGGTGCTTCGGCCTGTCTGGCTGGGGTAGGGGAAAAGGTGTAGGTCACCTTGCAGTGGCTCTAGGCTGCCGTCCTACCTGTGTGCTCAGCCCTAAGTGTGGTGGCTGCCTGTGCTCTCATCTGTCCATCCATCAGATGCTCTGTGAACATCTAGCCTGGGCCAAGGCCGGTTCCCTGAATGCCTTGATGAGCAAGGTCCAATGGGGTCCCTGCCCATGCAGGGCTGACGTTACTGGCACTAAATCTTGGGACACAGTGGCCATTGAGTCGGGAGTTTTCTGCCCTCTGTTGTTTGAGCTACTGATGACTCCAGGTTGGAAGGAAGAGGCTTCCCAGGAAGAGCTTGGTCCATCTGCTCAGCACCACTGGGTAGGACTGGGAGGTCAGGACTTGCTGGATGGATTGAGGGACAGTCCTGCTCCTTGAGCCTCTTTTCTCTGTCCCTTGGGGCAAGCTGCTTAATCTCTCTGTGTTCTGGTGCCCGTTCAGCCCCTCCTTTGAATTCTTTCCTGCACAGAGGGCATGGGCCACCCCAAGGAGCAGAGAAGCCAGGTCGGAGCCAGCTGAGCCCCCTTTGCCTGAGTTATGGTGAACAGGACCCCTCCTTCCTTTCCTTGCTTTTGCAGAGATGGCTGACTTTAAGCTAAAGGGAGAGCCAGGCCAACCCTCTCCCTTGTCCATCTCCTCTGCCCTGAGCAGTTGGAGACATCTGGTCCACCCCCTTGTGACAAGTCTTGAGGTTTGGGAAAGTGACCACACAGCCAAGAGTTGTGCAGTGCCTCCCCACAGAGGTACCTCAGCAGCGTGGCCCCAGGGAGTGCATTCCAGTGTCCCTGACCACAGTCAACTTTGGAAGGGATGGAGACCAACCCACAGGTGTGTGTGGGTTTCCAGCTAAGGAACAGGCTCCCCTGCCACACCAAACACCCACGCGTGCACATGCACATGCAATGGGCCACTGCTCAATTGCAGAGCTGCACTTGCAGCAGGAGACAGTCCAGACCCAGACAGCATCTTGCAAAGGGTGAGTCCTCTTTGGGCTCTAGAGATGTGATACAAAGTGCTGTGTGTGAGTGTGATGCACAGCTCGGGGAAGAGGAGGCCACCTGGACTGGGGCCTGTTGGGGTGGTTCCTGTGACAGAACCTGGGGGGAGAGAGTGATCTGAAGGAGCAGGAAATGCTCCCCAAGAGTGACACAGGCTGCACCCCTTTGTGGTTCCTCCTGGAATCTTGTACTGAGCCAGGCCGAGTCTTAGAACGTCTCCAACTTTGAGGTGATGAAAGCAGCAGGGACATTTTTGTCTCAGCCTTTGTGAGGCTGCTTTGCAAAGAAGTGAAATTTCTCCAGCCTTATTTGGGCTGGGGCTCGGAGAACAGTAGGTTCCCAGGGTGCCAGTTCCCATAACCCACTCTCCACCTGTGACACCTTGCAGTGAGCACCAGTTTAACCAGCCTCTGCCAAACACAACCCCACAGCTGCGGTGAGCTCCACCCAGCTCGGCGCACAGGGTGGTTTTGTTCTAGTGAAGCCTAGGACCCTGTATGAGCTTTCCACGATGGCTTAGGAGCAGCATGTAAGAGGTCCCTGACTCAGAAAAGAAAAAGAAATAGGACTTGAGCCAGTGAAGCAAAGAGCTTGAAGTGGCAGGAGGAGACTCCGTGTCCCGGGAGGCACAGGCCAATCTGGCAGAGCCAAACTCCTGGGCAGCCCCTTCCCTTAAACTAGACAGGAGCCCCCTGTGTGAGTTGGAACAGGCTTGTGGTTGTCCCCACCCTGCACAACCCAGGGAAGTAAGTGCCCTTTCTTTTCCTACCCTTCTAAGAAGGGGCTTCCCTGCGATGCCCTCAGGGAAGGACCACAGGGGACGGAGGGAACCACCCAGGGAAGCTGTGCCACTCACTGGACAGTGTCCCCAACCACACCCAGAGCCAGTGCTCCTCTTATCCATCCATTAGTATTAAGTGGATGTTCCACGATGATTAAGATGGAAATGAAACAGATACAAGGCTGTGTAGCCTAGGACAGTTTCAGATTTCAGCTTGTGAGGGAATCTCAGAGCTGATCTAATTGAAGTGACTCATTGTGCAGACAAGGAAATGAAAATTCAGGGAGCTAAAGAGACAGGCTCAAAAGGGCAAAGCTGGTAAGTCAAGGCAGGACCAGGGCTTGACCTTGGGCCTTCTGATTCCTTGTCCAGTGTTGTTCATCTCGCCACAGCTGCCTCCTGGGAAACAGGTATTAAGATCTGTCCCTTGGGCCACCCTGTCAAATCTCTCTACCATTTCTCCCACATCCCCACAGCTCCCAAATGAAAGGCAGAACCCAGCTGTGCAGTTATGGGCAGCTCCCAGGCCAGAGCCTAGAATGACAAGCTGATTGGTGCTGGTGACTGTGAACCCTAGACTGTCCTCCTGGAATGATACCTCTTGCTTTGTCTCACATCAGGCTCTGAGCACACTGTATTCCTCGGAAGTGGGGTTGGGGCGGGGGTTTCCTGTCCATTCTGCCCTTGGCCACAGGGCACTGAGGGGCACCAGGGCTCTGGCAAGCCTGCCACCCTGGCATTTGCTGGGCTGGAATTCAACAGACGTAAAGACTACAGTGAAGCAATAAACACAAAAGTCTGGGAGAAGAGATCCAGAATTTTGTGCACTACTTTCTTTTTCAAATATAATGCAGTTCAAACGACACTGATCTGCTCTTTTTCTGATTCCCAAATGCAATGTCCTCAGTCAGTGTTGTCCCTCTGCCCGTCTCTCAGCTCCTTCCCACTTCTTGCCCCTCTCAAGCTGAGCATCAGTCGCCTGTGACACGGCCACCTGCTGTCCTGGTCCCACCCCCAACCGTGCTGGACCCTGGAGGACCTCTTGCTCTGTCCCCACCATCCCACTATGTTCTTTTCAGTGGGGAAATTTTTTCCCTGTTTCCATCCTTGCCCACATTTCCACCCGCCCACAAATTGGCCTGATCTTTTTTTCTGTTGGTTAAACTTTTAACTGTCATGGTACAACTTGTTTTAACCCCTCTCACGTCACGCTCTTTCCTTTTTGCGAGTGACCTTGAATTAACCCGCTTTGTTGGCGACAGATGCGTTATCTGAGGGTGTCACGCATGACCTTCAGCAGGGAAGACTTCTGGGCCATGAAGGACCGTCTAATACATGGACTTATAAACTGACTGCATGAACAATGAAAAGGCCAAATTATTCAGAATTTTTTTTTTGAATCACTGTAAAAAAACTGATTTCTTTTGTATAGAAAACACTAAACGTATAATAAAAGTTGTTCAAAATGGACTCTGGCCAGTGATTCATTCATCTCCTTTGGGTAGAGAGAATGCCACGGGGTTAATGATAGGATTTTTCATACGCACCAAACAGCGCACTCTGCTGTTGGAATTCCACCATAGCAGCCGCCATCTAGAAGTTGGTCTTATTTGGGAAAACCCATTTGCACGATTTGTGTTTTAAACATGAGTGGCTGGTATAGGAATGCGTACGTTCGGAGAGACACACCCGATTCACCTGTCTGTGTGTGCGCACGCTGTCTCCAAAGTGCTGTGCTGGGGCAGGTGGAGGAGAGAAATTTGCAGTGGCGCCTGGTCTGCCCCTCCCCTTCGCCCCTTTGCCCGTAGATGGGCCATCACTAGCGCCTGCCCAGCACTGTCCCTGGTACAGAGCAGATATTTAATACGTTGAAGGACTGAATACAGCTGAAACCCTTTCATAGACGTGAAGCAATCTCCATAAACAACCGGACAGTGAAGGCAGAGCCAGGGGCTGTGTTGGGGGACAGAGCTCAGCTTCCGCCCACCTCCTTTCTTGACGCAGCCTGGCCTCTTACTACCTCTCACTAAGGGGTGGCCCCCGAGCATCACCCAGGTGGGATCCTTGCAGAGGGACGCCGGACGCTGTCACCTCCCATTGCAGAGAGGGCGGGGCCTCGGCAGTACTGGGCAGTCAGGACAAAGGACTCCTCAGGAAACGCAGACCCAGCTCAACTCTCAGGGACAAAGAGTCACCAAGTACCTCTCCAACTCTCTCTGTTTACTCTTCCTTCAAAACCTCGGGACACATCATGGACTTGAGGAGTTCCCTTTTCATTAGGTTCAAGCGAGACGCTTATTTCCAGGTCTGGGTCCTGCTGAAGTGTTGGGGATGTCCTCCAGCCCCTCAGAACCTCTGCTCACTCCCTGGAATAAGAGAGGGCCTTTCTCATCCCTCTCAAGTTCACAGGCTGTGTCTGAAATCTGTACCTCCTGTTCACTTGCACCGTCTCACCCCTAGTAACAGTGTCTCTGCCTCCTGTATCACCTACTTCCCCAAGAAACTGTAACTGCAGGGATCTTCTCAAATACAATCGGATTGTTCGCTCCCCTTCCTCCAGTAGGACAAAATCTGAACTCCCTGGTTTGGCACGTTAAACTTCTGGTGCCGTGACCCTCCCCTCTCCTAACTCATTTGTCACCACTCCCAGCCTCCATGCCCCAAATTCCAGCCGATTTCTAGCTCCCTCAGACGTGCAGAAACTGTCCCCACTTCCCAGGTTGGCAGTCAGTCCAGAGGCCCATGCTCCTGGCCCACTCGGGGCCAGTTAGTGGTGTAAGAGGAGCGGGGTAGCACTCCAGTCCTCAGGAAGCTGAGTCTGTCCTGGGAGGCGGGTAGATAAAGTGACCTAAGTGTGCCCTGGGCAAGGGACTCAGTCAATGTGGATTCAGTGAACAAATTATGCCCCAAGGTTTGGCTGCCTTGACCTCCCATGCCCGATTCCTGGACAGGTCTCAATTACTGGAGCTGATGCTCATTACACTCAAACACGGACGATCTCAGACTCTTGCCTCTTTTCAGCTCCGGGCCCCTCTGAGCCCCTGTCTCCATGGAGACCACCTCTCCCCGGTCCTCCAAGGCCAGCTGCGGCCTGTGGGCTGGGTTACACCTCTTTCTGGGTTGTTTTGTTTGTTTTGAGATGGGGTCTCACTGTGTTGCCCCATGGGCCTCAAACTCCTGCATGTACTTCCAGTCTCCCACGTAGCTGGACGTACAGGCTTGTCCCTCACCTGACGGCCACACTTCAATACTCAGCACGGTGACACTGTCTCAGGAGATCTCCCCAACACCCCTGCGTCCTCACACATTTGTGGTCTGGTTTAGATCCTCCTGAGCACATGTCACCTACTGTTTCTTTCACTGAATTTCTAATATCTTGAGTATAAGAAATCTTTTCTTTTTTTCACCTCTGCTTCCACAATCCAATGCTTAGCACACAGCAAGTACCACAGACAAAATGAATGGCCATGAATGAATGAGACAGCCATTCCTTTGAAAGAAGTAGCTGAGTGAACTCAAGTTCTTCGTATCATCCTCTGTCGATGCTGGGTATTTGGATATTTAGCACGTATATGACACTTTGGGGTTCGGTGAACAAAGTTTTCAGAACAAGAGCCTCCACCAAGGGGCAGAGTGGAAATGAAGGGAGCATCTTGTTTGCAGAAAGCCCACCTCAAGCCACACAAAACAACCGCTCTCTACAGGGCCCCGGGGGGGACCCCAGAATATCTGCCATCCCTCATCCCTGTCTCCTGAAGGCTGCACCACCCAGCCCATCAGAAATGCTAATCTCCAGCTTGGAGTTGGATTAGCAGACCCAGTGGGGAGGGGACAAGTCATCTTCCGATCTTTATTAAGAGCAGGGGCTGTACCCTCTCGCCCAGCGGCCCCCAAAGGGCTGGGACAGGGACTTCATTAGAGCCTCCTCATCAAGGCAGCCTCTCTCTGCCACCATATGGGGGGGGCATTCCACTTGTCCCCTCCCCACTTAATGCATCAGAGCCCATTTATTTGATGTCAGCCCCTGCTGGGGCATGGACCAGGCAGTGGGCCTCACAGCAATTTGGAGCCACAGCTGCGGCCCAGCAGCCCAACCCCCAGCTCCAGTCCCATCCCAGCCCCAGAACTTGCTGCTGATTGCATTGTATAGACTGGAACTCCACCGGGTCAGGGTTCACACACAGACCCTGAGTCCTGATGCACCTTCCCCACCCTAGGCCATGCAGTGCAGACCACAGAAGAGAGCCAGCTGCAGCCAGGGAGAGCACTGATTATGGATTTTTAAATCCCAGCTGTCCTCTGAAAAGGCAGAATCCTGTGGAACAAAGGGTCCAGGCATGATCTGGGCAGAGAATTTGCAAATGGAAGCTGGGGAAAGTTTTGTGTAAGAGACTTGGCGACCCCAGTGGGGAATGGATGAGCAGAGACAAGCAGAATGGCTAGAGCAGCAGGTCTCAAAGTCTGCCCCCTACTCTAGCAGAACCAGAATCACCCAGGAACTGGCAGAAATACAGACTCTTCGGCCACCCCAGGTCCACTGTACCGGAAACTCTGGTACCTGTTTTAAAAGGCCTTCCAGGTGATTCTGGTGCAGGCTAATGCTAGAGGACCCCAAGGGCAGGCACCGTGTGCCCTCATGCTGTCCCCTGGCAGTCAGGCCACACTCAATTCATGAATCCGCCTCCTGTGAGTGGATGTTTTATGCCAACTAGCAAAGGTGGTGAATTTTATGTCTAGACGGATGCTGGGTGTAACAGAGACCTCGTGGGATGCAGGGGTCAGAGCATGAGCCCGAGGGAATTAGCAGAAATTGAGGGAAGGGCTTTGCTTTTCTTAGACTGTGGGATTGGCAGGGAACTGAGCCATTTATTATGCTGATGTCAAGGAGGCAAGAGGGCACCAGATGGTATTGGGCCACAATACATTTACATTAAGTCACTTAGGAGGAGAAGGGAAACTAATAATGTTGACACCAACTGCAGGAGGCACGGTGATGTGCACTTTATGCAAACGTCTCCTCTAACCCGCACATGGCCCTGGGCATGTGGTAGCTGTGGATCCCGTTGCACTGGAGGAGACTAACCCTGAATGGCAGAATGACTCACCCAAGGCAAAGGACAAAGCCGGAGCTAACTGCCAGGTCTATCTGACTCTAAAACCCTGGGCTTCAACCAGGCACGGTGGTGCACACCTATATTCCCAGCAGTAGGAAGTTGAGCCAGGAGGATCATGAGTTTGAGACCGACCTGGACAATTTAGCGGCTAAGTGAGACTCTGTCTCAGAAATTAATTAATTAATTAATTAACTGATTAATTGATAGGGTTGGAGATGTAGCTTAGTGCAAAGACCCAGCGTCCAATCCCTAGTGCCACAAACACAAACAAAAAAACTCTTCATTACTACACTTGAGAGTATGAATGGGCGTCTCTATGAAGACTTAGCTCCGGGCTTCAAAGGCATCGTGCCAGAGCTGCACTTGCCAGCCCCTGAACACACTCCAGCCATGCTCTGCTCCTCTCCTCTCCCCTCTGGTGTGGTAGGAGGGCCCAGGAGAGACTGGGGGCGCCCATGATCTGAGATGAGAGGCAGTGAGGCCGTCGGGGCTTGCCCTCCTCCAGGTCTGCCTTGAGCCCTAGGAAGAGCTGAATTCTGTGGACAGGTCAGACACTAGCTCTGTGGCCTCAGGCAAGTTACTTAACCTCTCCTTGCCTGAGTTTCCTCATCTGCAAACCTGGGATTGTAATTGTAGCTCCCTTATAGATCACTGTAAGGACCTAATCGGTTCAAATTAGATCCTGAAAAATTCTATGAACAGTGTTTCTATGATCATTGATTTAATATAAAGAAAGAAAGAAAGAACCTCACCCTTTCCCCTCTTCTGCCCACCAAGCTGTTCCTCCCAGACTCTGGTCTGCCTTCCCAAGCCTGGCCACCCTCCCAGCAGGAGTGAGTCCCATGTGTCAGGATGCCTCCCCACCGGCGGGCCTCTCTGAGCCTTTCTTTCCCTACCTGGCTCCTCCTGCCCCTTGCTTGGCCTCCAGCCTAAGCTCTCTGGTCCCACGGGAATCTGACTCCTGCACACTGTGGCACCAGCCTGCCTGCCCCTCACACGCAGTGGGGGACCCCTAAGTATGTGCTGGCTACTCCTGGGGACCAGTGTCCCTGCAGTGTGGCCAGATCCCGCATGTGGAGCTGTCTGCCTGGCTGTATTTACAGCACCGACTTGGGGTTCAGCCCTCTTGGTATTGGGCAAGGGGTGGGGTGGGGCAGGCTAGCTCTGTCTTCCTAAAAGCAAGTTGAGCAGGTTCCTGGCAGGGCAGAAGGGCCAGTGATAAGTGTTGAGAGCGTGAGGTTCATCTACAGCCCCATTAATTAACTTTCCCTAAGTGCTCTTGTCTGGCTTTCAAGCTAGCAACCTGCCACGCTCACTGATCAGCGAGGTCTGACCATCTTTCCCGATGTCGCGGGA